ATTTATTTTTCTGACCTATATTTCTCTATTTGAATGGGTTCTGAAAACTTTTCCCAGCTCTGTGGGCTCACATCAGATTTGAGTTTTGGGAGGACATTGGAGGTCAATCTGTCCAGCTTCCAAGGTCACCCAGGATTCCCTCTACCTCTGGCCTTTTTTTAAAAAAATTGATTCCAGAAAGAGGAGAAAGGAGGGAGAGAGAGAGAGAAATATCAATCGATTGCCTCTTGCATGTGTCCCAGCTGGGGACCGAACCCACAACCCAGGCATGTGCCCTGATCAGGAGTCGAACCCGCAGCCTTTTTGTCTTCAAGATGATGCCCAGCCAACTGAGCCACACTGGTCAGGGCATGGCCTCTTCTTGTTTCTGTCCCACGGTGGATGTCCACTGCCTGTCAATGGTGGAAAGGTCCTGCATTGGGAAGAGGGGGGTTCTAAACAAGGATCCTCTAGGCCTGTTTCTCATCTGTAGGATGAGGAAGGGAGCCCCAGCCCTGGAGTAAAATGGCTCTGAAAGTCCCTATTCTTGAGAACAGATGTAGTCTACTTTGCTTTTAGGTCATTTCCTGAAAGATCCTTATCAGTTATGACCCCTTTGGGACTAAAGAGTTTATTGGGACCTAGCAGCTCAGGGGGGGAAAGTGAACAATGAAGGACAGAGAAGTCCTCTAGGTCCACGCATTTCTTCAGAATAAATGCCTAGCTCTACCAGCTTGCTTCTCTTCTCCACTCACATCACCGCCTCCTTGGATCAAACCCTCATTTAGCATGACATTTCGGGCCTTCGTATTATGAGTTCTGCCCTCCACTCTTCTCAGTGTTCCAGAAACTGTTAACGCTCTTTCCTATGTTCAGACTTCTCCTTCCAACGGGAACATCCTCCTTCGCCTTTTCCCCTTGGGAAAATGCTCCTCAGTCCGTCGAGAATTACTTCATATGACCCCTCCCCCATGAAGACCCCCACCCCACCGCCAAGCAGAAATACACTCTCTACATTTTAAGACCTGCTGTCATTATAGCATTTCTTATTCACTTTTGTGATTATTTCAGTACTTGTCTCCCTCCTGGACTATGAACTCCTCAGGGAAGGGACCCTCACTCCTTCCTCTTGCCAGTAGGTATCAATAAGTTGCCTGAAGTGGATGGACGAACAGATGGATGGATGAAGATTTACCTTGGAGAGCTCTGCAGTGCTATTGGATCACAGCCTTTCTTCGGTGGGGATGAAAAATGAAGGGCAGAGCATCCTGTAACGCATGCTGCAACCTCTTTCCTCTCCCCTCATCCTTGCAGTATTCCGCTCCATCACTGAGTTCACGTGCATATTGAGAACCTGCCGTATGTGAAACTGATGGGCCCTATGACCGTCATTAAAGAATACCGTGAAGCTGGGATGGGGAGTGGGCCGAGGTGTTTTGGATGCTTGGCTCCCTCTCGTTCTGCAGGTCTCAACACAAACATTTCCTCTGAGCGAGCTTCCCCAAACATTTATCTAGAATACATGCTCTTCGCATTTCTCTTTTCATTACCCTCTTGACTTCTTCATAGCATTTATTGAAATCTGAAATTACTGTTTTTTTGTCTTCCCCCATTTGAATGTCAGCTCCACAAGCACAGGGTCTCTGCCTTTTTGTTCTGCCTAGTCAGGTACTGCCTAGACCAGTACCTGTCACATGGTAGACACTTAAGAAATATATTGTGCTATAATATTTTCTTATGGTCTGTCTTCCACTTCATTAATTCTCTCTTCTTTTGTGTCCAATCTGATTTTAAAAATACCTCTGAGTTCTTAATTTCTATTATTGTATTTTTAAGTACCAGAAATTCCATTTGATTCTTTTCTATAATTTCCAGTTCTCAAGCTTGTCTTATATGTCTTTGAATATACTAAGCATTGTTATTTGAAAGTTTAGTTGATAATTTCATTATCTGGATCTTTTATGTGATTGTTTCTATTATCATTTCAGTGAGGGCTGGGCTGTTGTTTCCTTTTTACTCTTATTCCTTAGGTATAATCTTTTGTGGTCCCGACCCAAAGCCTTGTGGGGGGTGAGGGAGTTTACCACGGCCCCCCTTTCTTATTGAACTATATAGTTTTTCTCCTCCTAGCCTCATAAATTTGTAGAAAGCTCTGCTCAGTTTTTCAGCTGTCTCTTCTGGAAGGGGCAAATACTTTTAAGGGAAAAACAGTCCCATATGAAGGGCTCACCTCCCTCTTCCCCTTAATTCTGTCCTGCATTAGTTACCGTCCAATACTTTGTCTGCTGTTGCCCCATGATGCCCATAATATGTCTAACTGACTGAATATAGGCATGCCAGGCTTGGAGGTGGGAGTGGTCACCTTCTAGTCACATTCAGCTGTCTCTAACACCTACTCTACACCATGTTCTGTGCTATGCTGGGTTAAAGAGGTGGCAAGACCTAGTACCTCCTCAAAGGACCAGCCCATATTCTAAGTTGACACAATCTTTAGGGTAAAGACCAGCAGAAGGGGCTCTGAGAATACTGAGGAACTCCCTCTCTTTGAAGGAATTTCCTGGGAGGGAAGTGGAAAGTTTCCCAGGGAAGGGGCTTCTGAGATAAGTCTTAAAGGACAAATAAAAGTTTTCCAGATTTAAAGGAAAGAGAAAACTGGAGAAGGGCTTTGCTTGCAGAGAAAACCCATGGGGCGTAAAAGAGCCTGGAGAAGCTGAGGAGATGCAAGCTGGATGTGTCTGAAGGCTAGAGGATGGGGGAGGGATGCTATGTAACCCAAAACACCAGACTGGGAAGAAAGGCAGGAACTTTGAATGTCACGCTGAAGAGGTTGGTGTTTATCTCTGGGCAGAGTTGTAGAGGTTGTGGACTGAGATTTTCTCCTGTGCTAGTTAAGGTTCCGAATTCAGGTTTGGAGAAGGTGTACAGTAGGACATTGAAGTTGAGGGATGGCTAGGTTCTGTCTCCAGGTCTGCCATTCATCTGCCCTTCTTGGGCCCTCAGCTTTCCAATCTGCAAAATGGGAGTTTCTCTGGGCTCTTTAAACTTTGTGACCAGGGCTCTGTCTATCCAGATGTTGTCAGGACAGAATGAAACTGCTCAGAGGGCAGAAGAGGTAATGGTGTGAAACCCCACTTCTCTCAGGTACTGATGGACCCCAGACATCCGCACCCCAAGTCCTGATGACCCTTAAAAACCCTTCCAGCACATACAAGGCTCACACCACAGAAGCTCAGCATGTGAAAATGAAATTTCTTGGATGAGAAAAGTTTTACAAATAGGAGTCTGACATTTAAGTATCCTCATAGGCATCCCCAGCATGGAAAATGGGTGACAGGGCTGGCCCCAGGGCTCAGCCTGTCCAGCTGCCTCTTCATAAGAGGAAAGAAGATTGTCCCATGTGACAGAGCCAATTTTCAGCAGAGCAATCTTGGACTTCAACATAGGCCCCCTGTCTCCTGGGTCAGTGCCCTCCCAGCGCATGCTGCCTCCCCAACTCTTATGGACCCCCACAACCACCCGCCCCCGTAGGTGTAATTTAAAAAAGCTGATACGTGCATCTGGGTGGGAATAAGACTTCTGGAGAAGAAGCTGATGGGGTTGGGCAGTGATTGGTAACTGAGAGCTCTTCCCATCCCCCCCGCCCCGCCCACTCCCCAGGGTCTTCAAGACTCCTGCCCCTTTCCTCTGCACTTTCTTCACTTCCTCTCACCAGTGAACTCCCCGTTCTTTCTAGCCAGAGCTGTAGGTCCCTACGGGCCCGCTCAGGGTTTCCTGAGGCTTGTAACAGGAGCACTGCAACAAGGAGGCCCAAAACCATAGAACGGAAGTGACAGAGCATTTTCTTCTACTACCTGGTATGCAAATGAGACACAAAACAGACTATGAAAGGGAGAGTGGGTAAGGCTGGAGCTGGGCCACGGAGCCAACACCTGGATCTTCCAGGAAGGAGCGGGGCAGGAAATCAAGACTTCTAGGGCAGCCCCGGAGGTTACATCCATGACTGTGGCTTCAGACAGACGGAGATTCAAGTTCGAACGAGACTAGCTCCACCATTTATTACCTTGGACCAGGCAGCTGGTAACTAAGCTTCAGTTTCTTCAGCAGGAAAATGAGAATAGTTATAAGACCTACTGCAGGGCTCCACCAAAACAATAAAGTGAGAGAATATATAAAGAATAAAGAATGGAGGATGGTCCAGGTAGGTCTCTGTTTCACCTTATGCCCACCCCTCGCTGGGACAGCTAACGCCCACTCCAAATCCCTTCCACTGCAGTTTAGTCACCTGCTTGTTCTCCACCAGCCCCCATCCCATCCATCCTATATTGACACAAACAACCCATCTGCTATTTTCTTTACCCAAATCACAAAATTCTAGGGCTGAAGAAACTTCAGAAATAATTCACTTTAGTCTTCTCAATGAAAGTGAGCAATATGAGGCTCAAAGGAAGTGGGCTTCCCTAGAAGCTGGGTTCCCAGAATACTAATGCAGCGCTCCTTTGTTTTCACAGAAATCTACTATCCCTCCCCCAAACCCAAATATTAATGTTCTGGACCTGTGGAGCCAAATACATCCTTACCTTGAAACCTCAATCTATCCCAACCTTTTCTCTTTCAGCTCCTGTACCCTGCCCCAATCTTCTTTTTTTTAAAAAATTATTATTTACTATGTGTTGGCACATTTAAATGGGTTATATTGCACTTCATTCTCTGGCTGCTCTTTCACTAAAGGCTCAGAGAGGTATAGTATCTGGCCCGGGGCTGCAAAATTGATAGGTAATTAAACCAAAATTCAATCCCCAATAGACATGACTCCAAGCCCAGGTCCCCATTCATTGCCCCACAGCTGCCCCTTTGGTTTTTGGTTTGCCCACCTACTATCCCTTGGGATTTTGCTGGCTCCCAACCCAGAATGCATCATCAGCCTGGGCTCCAGGGCCTAGGGCCTAGTATCCTCAACCCTGAGATCTGTAAAAAGGAAGCAACACCCCACCCTACACCATAGGCCCTCCTTCCTCTCCCTTTCACCCCGCCTCCCTGTTCAAGAACAGCCAGGTCTTAAGGAGCCTGCAGACAGCTTTGAGCCTATCTCCAAACGCTGCTGCCACAATCCTTCCAAGATGAAGGGCTTCTTCTTCCTCCTATTCACCATCAGCCTCCTGGTTATGCTTCAGGTAAGACCAGCCCCTCAGAGTCCCTGGCACCACCGCCCAGGTTCCCCAGACCTGCCTGGTATGTAAGGAAGGAAATACAGGCTCTCAGGCACCCAGTCTTCTCCCATGGGAACAGAGGCAGAAAGGCCCCAGCAGGCAAGCCAGGAACCAAGGTGGGCCTGGCCCCGAGTCTTCTAGCCCTTCTGGCTGGGATCACACTGCCTGAGGGTTGCCCCTGAACAGAAGCCTGTACCTGAGGAAGGAGAGCATTTTCAGGGTGCCAGGAACACTGAGGCACCCAAGGGGTGCTATGGAATAATAGTGAATTTAGAGGCTTGCGAAGACAGCCCTGAGTGAGGATGGCATCAACCCACAAGGAACCTGGGGAAATGGTCTTATTAGGAGGCAGCCAGGAATCGTTCAAGTGGAAACTGATCCTGTTCTGGAGGTGGCAGGGAACCCCCAGGGAGAGGAGAAGCCTGGGTGTTTGGGAATGTAGAGAAGACAGAAATCACCTACTCCAGAAAGAGGTGAAGTCTCAAAATCAGCTGCTATTCTAGGAGGCACCTTCAGCAGCATCCTATGTGCCTGGGGGGCTCTAGTCAGCATAAGAGAGGGAGCCATCAAGTTCTTGATAAAGAGCAGCTCGATCAACCATCAAGAACAGCTTGAGCACCATCAGAAACAGCTTAATCTCCATCAAGGGCAGCTTTAGTTGCAGCTTGATCATGCATTGAGGACAGTTTGATCACCATCTGGCCACGCACTCAGGGAGAAAATGAGAAAATCATACCCTCCCTACCTATCCATCTCCCCACCCACACTGTGCCAGGTGCCTTCTCACCAGCCTTGTCCCATGTGACCGCCGCCCCCAACTGTGGTGTGCTTTTCTCCCCATTCAGAATATGAGGAAACTGAGGTTCAGATAGGCTAAATCCCTAGCCCAACTGGAAAGGTCAGAGGCTGGGGCCACAGGTTCCCCTATCTTCCACATGCTGGAGGAGCTGGTGGCCTGGAGGTGACAGGAAAGTTCTGTGGGAGGTGGGCCAGGGACTGCCTGTGACCCTGCTTATGCCAAGGCAGGAAACAGCTAATTGTCTCCATGGGAACTGGTGGCAGAAATCAGGATCATGGGACAGAGAACTGAAGACTATTGTGTTTGGGTAGGGGATCTTTTCTCTAAACAAACATGAGATTCAAAAGCGCCCCTACGCTTACCCCACTTTTCTTGTAGATACAAAGTGGAATGTTGCAAAACGCTACCAACACCGTCACCCTGAGCGCAGGAGCGAGTTCCAGCACCGGCGGCGAGGCCCCCCGCCACTCCTCCTCCTCCTCCTCCTCTTCCTCCGCCACCACCATCATTACCACCACCACCACCACTACCACCGCCGCCGCCGCCTCCAAGAAACACGCAGGTGGGGCCGCAGCACTCAGCAGCCTGGGCAGTGTCAACGTCCTCATCATCTTGACCAACGCCCTTATCCACCTCCTTCACCTCAGTTGAGGTTATGCCTCAGCCCTAGCCCTGTGTCCTCTGAGATAGCTGCCAAGAGAAGCTCCTCCCCTCAACCCTTGGGAGGCGCTGATATCAGATATTGCCAGTTGTGGTGACAGGAAGTGCCTCGGGGGCAACGCCGACACAGGGAGGTACTGATATGGAAGGGGTTAGCATCACCCAGCCTGGGTTCATTAAAGTTCTCCTGTACTTTAAGTAGGGTCCTATGCGTGGTCACTGGACATTATTGGGCCCCAAAAGTCAGGTTTGCAGCAGCACCAAGGAGCCTCCTATGCCCCCATCAGCAGGAGGTTGTGCCAGGGAGTTCCCACCCAGCTTGCCTGCTCTGAAGTCCAAATGCTGAGGCCCTTCCCCTTAGGATTGCCTTGCTGAGCCCTGCCATCTTCACTATCAGAATCCTCCACCGGAACCTGTGAGTTCTCTGAGGGCCGGGACCAGGGGACGTGGTTCCCATGTGTGCTCCCACAGCCTAGTGCCAGACCTAGCTCAGAGCAGGCTCTCAGAACCCATCGTTGGGAGTGACTGGACTGCGTAAAGACCGCACTCACCAGTTAGTCTGGTCCCAGGTCTCCCTCTGGTGGCAGACGGAGGCCTTGCACCTGAGCCCCAGGACAAGCCAGGTAGGAAGAATCAAGACTGAGTGTAGAGGGAAGAAGCAAAGTGAATGAATCCTCAATCCCACCCCCAAATATCAAGTGCACAGAGAGGAGGATACCAAGGAGGATATTAGAAAACAATTTATGTTACAACAACAACAACAAAAAACTATAAAATCATTTCATCCCAGAGAAAGCCCCCAGGACTAGGAGAGTGGGGTGTCAAAGCACATGTACTGTCCAGATCTGGGAAGCCCTGTCCTTGGCCAGCTCCCAAAGCACCACATGGTCCCGGTCGTAGCCCCGGCCACCTGGGGGAGGAAAGAGAGATGGGGAGATAGTCAGAACAAGCTGGGGATACCACTGCCCTTAGCCCCCTCAGATGCCTTCTCCCACACACATCTCCACCTTACCCTTCACATCTAGAATCCGACCTTCAAACATCTGGCTGCAGATGTGGCCCGATTTGTTGATGCTCCATGTCTGACGAGGCAGGCGGCTCTCAGCCCACAGCACCACCTTTGAGCCTATGCTGGGGGGCCCAATCACCTGCAGGCTCATGGTAGGGGCCACCTGAGCCCCCAGGAGGTTGTCAGGCACTGTTCCTCTTCACAGGGATCCCACCAAAGAAAGACACCCTTGACACACCCAGCTTTGAATCCTTAGGGACTATGACCCTGGGCAAATCTCTTAATCCTTCTGAGCTTTGGTTTCCTTGGAGATGGGAATCCCTGAGTGCTGGTTGTTGTGAAAGTTCAGTGTGAGAAATCAGATGAAGGCTGGAAAAATATTAGTTCCTCTAGGAAACCTTCCATGACTGACTCCCAAAACACAGGTTTCGGCATCAGACAAGCCATGACAGTTTATTGACTGTGTGACTTTCGGCCATTTACTTAACTTCTCTGTGCTCTGCTTTCCTAACCTGTAAAATGGAGAATAAAATAAAATCTGTCCCTAGTGCCCTCTATGGATTACAAGAGGTATTCATGTGAAAGGCTCAACACGGCACTGCTGGTACATGGCCAGTGTTCCCTTTCAATCTAATTAAAAGACAACCCCCTTTTAATAGCCTGCAAAGACCTACATCTCCATAATCTTTCCGGTATCATCTCCTGCTACTTCCTTCTTTACTTGCTTCAATACAGCCATTCAGGTGGTCTTGCTATCCTGGAAAATGTTGGCATATTCCTGCCTCAGGCCTTTGCACTTGCTGTTCCCTCTATCTGGACCACTTTCATTAGACATCTGCTTGGCTGCTTCCTTCAAACGTCACCTTCTCAGAAAGGGATCCCCTTGTCAGAGCTACTAATAATTCCTATTTCTTTTACTCATTCATTTTTTTCTCTATTGCAGTGATTTTCAATCAAAGTGCCACAAGAACTTTTAAAATATGTAATACCTGACTATTCAGGCAGGGGCACTGACATCTTTTTCCTTAGACTGTCAAATAAAAAATGACAATATGCCCTAATCGGTGTGGCTCAGTTGGCTGGGAATCATCCCACAAAATGAAAGTTTGCCAGTTCAATTCCTAGTCAGGACACATGCCTGGGTTCTGGGTTTGGTCCCCGGTCAGGGCGCATACTATAGGCAACTGATCTATATTTCTCTCCTTCTCTTTCTCCCCTTTCTCTAAAAATAAATAATTATTTTTTAAAAAAATGACAATAGCCAACACAACAATAGTTGTCTGATGTTGATGCCGTCTTGCACCATAAATATATAGGTCATGTAATAGAGTTCTAACGTACTGGTCACATCGCTAAGATTGCATCTGATTGGTTAATTCTTGTGGTACCAGAAATGCTTATATACAAGTATAGGCACCTGATTTTTTAAAAAGTCACTTTGGAGTAAAAAGGGTAGGTAATTAATGTTATTATTTTTTGTAAATCCATCAAAATTATACCTATTTTTGGTCAGATCAGCAAAAAATATATTTTTTGGTATGCCGCAGATTTTTAGTCATTAATTTACATGTGCCATGAGATGAAAAAGATGGAAAATCACTGCTCTATTACACTTTGCATCATCTAGGGTACTAAGATATTTTACTCATTTAGGTTGTTTCTGCCACTCCCCAATAGGATATAAGCTTCGGAGGGCAAAAGTCATTTCTGTCTTCTCACTGCCGTATTCCCAGCACCCAAAATAGGGTCTGGCACATAGTAGGTGCTCAGGAAATGTTTGTGCAGTGAATCTATCATTATTACTCGGATCCAAGTTCTGCCAAGGATATCAGAGGTGGGAAGTCCCTTAGAAGCATCTGGTTCAATGCTCTTGTTTTGTACATGAGGGACTGAGCCTGAATTGCCCAGGGGTGCATAGCCTGCATTCTCCACCTCCCCAGCGTCTTGGTGTCTCTGTGTGTCTCTCTGGCCCAAGGGTGGGTCCTGGACTGACTGCGCTGGGACTCCCAAGGTGAGCCTGTGTATGTCGGGGGCCCTGGTGTCCCTGTCCCAGCCACTAAACCAGTACCTGGTTCTTCAGCAGTCCATCTTCGTAGTACCAGATGCAGCTACCTCCAGCTGCAGGCTGAGAGACCACCACACGGCCTGCCTTCATGTCTTCCACGTGGTCTGGCACAGCCAGGAATCCCCCCAGGGCCGCATTCCAGAGGCGGAAATAAGCCCGGCGCTGTTGAGCAGAGGATGCTGAGAGTCAGGGCTCCCTGGGCAGAGATGCTCCCACCTGGGCCCCCAACACCCATATCTCTCACCCCTCCAGTATCCCAAGCTCCCAAGCCCTCCTTCATGCTCCTAAACCTTCCTTGGCCTTCCTTTAAGTCACCCCTGCTTCCCATGCAAATACCAAGGGCACTTCTAAAGCACACATCCACACTGATACAGCTCCATGTCCATACATACCCACAGACGTGTGCAGAGGGACACACTGGCAGATAAACCCAAGGTCTACATGGCTGCACAGAAGTTTGCAACAGACACACAGATACTCACAGCCATGCAAACTCACACACCCTAACCAATGCACAGGTCCCTCCAGCCACTCCACAACAAGGCACCTATGTTTGCTATGGACACAGGTAGAAATACAGGTGCGTGCGTGCACACCCATGCTAAAGGGTTACCATGGTAGGGCAGACACGGCACTGGCAGACCTCAGATCAGGCTCTGACTCAAATCAGCTGGGGACCTCGGAGATGGGTGATGGCAGTGATAGGAACAAGAATCACAGCTGACATTTGTTAAGTGCTTATCCACTCAAGCACTGTTCTAAGGACTTTATATACATTTTATATACATTATTAATCTTCAGTCCTCAAACCAACTCCATCATGTGTATTACCCCCATTTTAAAGATGAGGAAACTGAGGTCCATGGAGGTACAGTACTTGCCCAAGATTGCAGAGCAAATACTTGTCCATTTCTCTGGGCCTTTATTCCCCCATCTGTAAAGTGTGGGAGTTGGAGATAATCTCCAAGATTTCTTCTAGCACTGATGTTATAAGAGTCTGTGACTGTACAGACCACACGATATCCTTATACAAGGACACACACACTCTCAACAGTGTCACAGGCACATGTGGTCATGAACACACTCACAGATGTGTACGCACACAAACCACAGATCACCTACACAGACCCATGATCACAAATGACTTCACGGACACAGAAATACTCTCAGACAACTACATACACACCCACACAGACCACTGGACCATGCCTCCACATTAATGCACATGTAAGAAGACACATGTCCAGACATGCGGACACAATGTTTCTCAAAGTGAGATGTGCTTACTACTGCTGAGTAGTGCATGAGATAATTTTCAGTCCTGCGTGGATAAACTTGCTGCTAAAAATTTAACAGTAATGTATTTATTATATTGTCTATTAAGGAAAAATCACACACCCTCATCAAACTCATGATTTTATGAATATTATTCCTTAAGATAAGGATAGAATAGGAAAAAAAGGTGAATCGATTTAGAGAAAAATATTAAGTAGATAATGGTTCAAGAACACTGATGAGCCCTGTCTGATGTGGCTCAGTGGACTGAGTGCCGGCCTGCAAACCAAAGTGTCGCTGGTTTGATTTCCAGTCAGGGCACATGCTTGGGTTGTGGGCCAGGTCCCCAGTAGGGGGCACACGAGAGGCAACCACACACTGATGTTTCCCTCTCTTCCCCTCCCTTCTCCAAAAATAAATAAATAAAATCTTAAAAAAAAAAAAAAGAGTGACGACATGGCAAAATTATGATAAAAGCACACAAATGCTGAGTTTGGGAAACATGGGAGACATACAGACACACACGCCCAGACAGGACATCATGCTACCCACCTGCTTGATGGGGTAGAGGGAACCCACCCTCTGGGTCCCACTGTAGGTCAGCCAGTTGGTGATCTCGCAGCTGCCCACCAGCCACTGGCGGCCCCGGAAGTCACTGTGTTCACACAGCACCCAGCTGGGCCCAGCAAGTGCCAGAGACACCGAGGGGAAGACAGACAGAGAGACGGAGAAGGCAAGAGTGTCAGAACATTCTCCACCTTTTCTCTCCTGCTGGGGCTCCTCTGCCTGGAGCTAGGGTCCCAAGAGGGGAGAGAGAGGCTGGGAAGTGGACTTGGGGTTTGCAGGGCAGAGGAGGGCCCTGAAGAGCCCCTTCCTCCCTGGGCTGGAGCCCAAGCCCTGGGAATCAATGCCCCTCCTCAGTCCACTTTTACCTCCCTCCTGGATGGGAGGAGAGAGGAATAGAAGTGGGGAAGGGAAGAAGCCAGCGACCCAGCCCGCACTTACTAGCAGCCCCTAGTACCCTGAGCCCGCCCACAGTCCACTCACATGCCCCCCTGGATCCGCACGGATAGCACGTGGTTGTTGAAGCCCTCGGCCTGCAGGCTCCGCACCTCTCCACTGAGCTCAATCTCCTTCCCTTCGAAGCACTCCAGTCCATACAGGAAAATGGAGGGCTCTGAAAAGTGCTGGGGGACCAGGACACGGAGAAGGGGTGAACCCAAGAAAGCCCTGGCTCCAGACTCAGCCCCCCACCTCCCAGATGGGTATCTCAGGCTCTCCTCCCTCCTGAGTTCCACCCCACAGGGCTCCTTACTCCTGGGCACTGCCAGCTGGGTGACTCCCAGAGTCTCAGGTACAGCAGGTGCCAAGCTGGGCCCCCATCTCCCCTCAGGCCTTCCCCCCAGTAAATGGCACTTCTAAGAATAGTATATTAACAATACTGTTCATTATAGCAGTTCTCATATATTTGGGGCTTACTACATGCCAGATTTTGTGCTAAGCACTTTACCTGATCTCATTATAACTTCTCGACAACCCTATAAGGTAGGTGCTATTGTTATCCTTGCTTAGCCGAGGCGCAACTGAGGCTGGAGAAGATTAAACCCCTAGAGATGGGCTTCGGAACACGTCTATCTGCCTGCAGAGCCCAGGGCACAGCTGTAAAGAGTTTGGTCTCAAGAGCTGGCTGCCGGGGGGAGAACCTGGCTCTGCCTGTTGCCAGCCGTATGGGGTTGTGGTAAGGATTGAAGGCCTTTCTGAAAAAGCTGGGAGCACGGTGTGTGTTCAGTACACGTTGTCTGTTCTGCTCCCGCTGCCCCTGCTGGCCCACCCAGTGCTAGTCACCAAGTCCTACAGACCTCAGCTCTCTCATATGGGCCAGGTCCCTTCTCTCCATCTCTCCCCTGGCCCAGGCCATGATGGTTTATTCTGGCTTACCGTGGGAACAGCCCTGTTGCCTGGCCCCCACCCACTCATTCTCCACACGACCGCGAAGCTATCTTTCCATGTCACTCCCCTCCTCACGGAACCACGGCCTCAGCAGGCTGGCCCCTTCCGCCCAGCCCACCCAAGAGCCAGTCCTTCCTGCTCCTGCACCACTTCTGTATCTGGGCACACCACACCTTGCAATCTTTATGTCAATGTGACTGTGGGTTCTTTGAAGGCAGAGCTATGTCTGATTTATTTCATTGTCCCCAGGACTTATCTTGGGAACTGCTCAATCCATCTCTAGTAAACTGAACCGGCTTCGAAGCCCTGGGTCAGGGGGATCTGGCGTGGTTCTGAGGAAGACTGGATTCAAGCTCCAACAGCCCACTCAGCAGTGGGAAGAGGCTCAGGATGTCCCCAGCCACACCCCTTGCCTCAGGCATCGCCTGGAAATAGCCAGGGGCACTCACCAGCGGTACTTTCTGGAGGGAGCCCAGGACTGTAGAGGCTAGACAGCCCATGGCCGTGAGAGTGGGGAACTCGCCCTCGGAGAGAATGTGCTGGTCACCCTCAAAGTTCTTCTCATCAAACAGGATCCAGCTGGGAAAGGGGAAGGGTGGGAGGACTTGAGTGGATGGGTATTTGAGCGTGCCTTCTCTTCAGTCTGCCCAGGCCCTCTGAGATACAACAGAGTAAATGCAGACTTGATCATGACCCCCCAATCCAGGGGAGGTCAAGGGTGAACAGGCACTGCAGCAGCAGGGACTGAGGTCAGACTTAAGGAAGGACTGGCTGAGTCCTGGCCCGGTAGCTCAGTTGGTTAGAGCATTGTTCTAATATGCTAAGATTGCAGGTTTGATCTCCAGTCAGGGAACATGGAAGAAGTAACCAATGAATGCATAAATAAGTGGAACAACAAAGCAATGTTTCTCTCTCTCTCAAATCAATTTTAAAAAAGAGAGAGAGAGGGGAAAAGAAGGCCCAGGCTGGTATGGCTCAGGAGATTGAGTGCTGGCCTGCGAACTAAAAGTTCGTCCGTTGGATTCAGGGCACATGCCTGAGTTGCAAGCCAGGTCCCCAGTTGGGTGTGCAAGAGACAACCAATTGATGTATCTCACACACATGGATGTTTCTTTCCCTTTCTTTCTCCCTTCCTTCTCCTCTCTCTAAAAATAAATAAATAAAATCTTTAAAAAGAAAAAAGCTCCTAAGGAGAGAAATTTGGCAATATGAAGCAAAACTCTATGTACAATTATTCAGCAATCCTATTTCTTGGAATCTATCCCAAGGACCCCATCCAGGAACATAAAATAACACATGTACACACAACCATTCATTACAGCACTGTCTGCAATGGCAGAGAGTGGAGGCAGCCCGAATATCCATCAGTAAGGGACTGGCCGAATACACAAAGAATGTGGAGTATAATGGCAGTAGAAAGGAATGGGGATGACCTCTTAAAGAGATATAAAGTTACTTCCAAATTGTTAAGTAAAACACGAAGTGTATTACTGTAATTTATAGTATAGTATGGTGTAATTTGCACACCATAAAATTCACTCTCCTCAAGTACACAATTTGGTGTTCTTCAGTACATTCACCAGGTTGTAGTATACCTCTTTCTGTGTAAGAAAATGAGGAAGGAGGGAAGCAAAATATATTTGGTTCCTATAGTTATGTGTAAACTTATGAGTGTATATTTACTTATATTTTCAAAAAGAAACAATGGATGAACAAGCTAAACACTAAAAAAAAAAAATTCACCTATGGGGAGAGAGGGGAAAAGGTAGCAGGGACAGACAGAGACTACTGTCAAGTCTTTACTTTGGAACTGCGTGGACTGAATGTTTGTGTCTCCCTGAAAGTCATAGGTTGAAGACCCTAACCTTCAATAATGGCCTGTGGGAGGTAAACAGGTTTAAAGGAGGGCATCAGCCTTAAGCTCCCATGATGGGATTAGTGTCCTTAAAAGAAGAGGAAGAGGCAGCAGCTCTCTTTCCACCACGTGGGGTCATAGCTAGAAGGCAGGAAGAGGGCCCTCACCAGGGAGCTGAATCGGTCAGCACTTCCCAGCCCCAGAACGGTGAGAAAGTAAATGATTGTAGTTTAAACCACCAGGGTATGCTATTTTGTTAAAGCAGCCCAAGCTGACTAGGACAGGAACACTGTAAATATTTTATGTAATTAAAAAACAGAATTAAATAAAAATGAAAAATACTTCTAAAAATTAAAATAAATTAAATAAAATAAATGAACCTAATTTTATATCGTGTGGGTAGCATACCCCCAAAGAAAAACTACATGTTATTTCAAATGTCTTGAAAACAGAACAATTTGAACTGTACATGCCAAATGGGATGTAGGCGAATGTCCCAAGGACATAAAGAACCACAGAGGAATCTCAAACAGCATTTACTGGTTTTTACTGTTAGTAGTAATATTACTATAATAATTTTAAAACACCTAGCATGCAGATTTTGGTCTCTGAATAGTTATTCCCACTAAAAGGAGCCAGAGTTCCTTGGGGAATGGCTGATTTCAAATGTGTGTGTTGGGGGAGGGGGCAAAATTATCCTGGAGCATCTTATTGTACCAGAAAAACAAGGAAGTTATTAAAAATAAAAACAAAAACTATTGGAATCACATCAAGTTGCCAGGAGGCAACTTGAAGGGGCTCCCATTGGCCAGAGATGGAACAATTTGAGCACACAAAAGAACAGTGACTCCAATGGATTGAAGCATTTCAAATACAAAAAAAAAAAAAAAAAATCTATGAGTTCATAACAATAAACCTTCAATGGTCAGCTTTGGAGGTTGCTAGAGCACCAATTCAGAAATTATCCTGAAAATTGATCAAGAGAAGGGGGCAAACATTGATCTTTGGGTTTGAAAAATCAAACTACTTTCTTTTTTTTGTATAGGTAAACAAATAGTTCAAAAGAGTAATTCTTAGTATTCCAGCTAATATATGTAGAAAGCATAACAAAAATGAGAAAATCATCATTTTGTAACTTCTAAAGAAATAATGGATCTAGGCAATTAGCAATACATACTAAAACCATTAGGTGAAAGGTAAATGGGAAATCTTATTATGATATGATTATGATATATTATGATATTAAAAGTGGGACAAGCAGACACAGGCCTCCTGATGTTATGCAGTGGAGTACACAGTACCATGTATATAATCTTGCCAACAAAACAAAACAAAACACCTTTAATCTCATCAAGCCTCCAGATCTAACTATCAGTTTACAGAATATATGGCACAGAACAAGTTAAAAGACAAGGCTAGGAAGCAATCAGCCAAATACAGAAGAAGGGAAGCTCACAGGGCAAATTATAGGGTTTCTTCAAACAAAGAAATGGTGTAAAACAAAAAAGAAGGGGGTCCGGCTTGTTATACACTAGAGACCAAATTGACCAAATGCAACATGTGGACCTAGTTTGGATCCTGAGAAAAACAAACCAATTTAAAAAGGCATTTTTTGCACTAGCCGGGGTAGCTCAGTTGGCTAAAATGTTTTACAGATATGCCAAGGTTGTTGTATCCCTGGTCAGGGCACATATAACCATCAACCAATCAATGTCTGTCTGTCTATCTGTCTGTCTGTCTCTCTCTCTCTCAAATAAATAAATTTTTTTAAAGGCTCTTTTTTGTTTTTTATATTTCTCTTCTTCCTTTTAAAAGGATTTAAAAAAAAAACGGGAGCAATTGGACATGGCCTGGGCAATAGGTATTATTAATTATTGCTAATTTTATTAGATGTTATAACTTGTGGCTGTGTGTGTGGGGGCGGTGGCGGGGCGGGGGGGCGGGGGTCGTTTCTTACCAGATATACATCCTTAGGTATTTACCTGTGAAATTTTATGTTGGGCCAGAAACTTTAAATACTCCATTAAAAAAATGGCAAAGGGATAGATAAAACAAAATTGGGGTTCTTCATACTATATTATCTACAAGTTTTACATTTCTATTAAAACTTTGCTTTGCTTTTTTAAAGATTTAATGTTTCGGGACAGAATAGCTAATTTCAATGAAACCAGAGTAAGGAAATCATTTGAAATAAAGACCCCCTTTCCGCAGCTCCAATTTCCAAACTGAGCTAAATGCTTCAGGGCAGGTTCGCCCGGCCTCCCGCACTCACGATCCCCCAACTCCGAGCTTCTCTCCCCGACAGCCTCACCTGCCGCCGTGGACAAGGCAGGACTGGGGCTGGAAAGAGGCGGGCAGAGAGGCCTGGTCATCCTCGAAGGAGATGTGGTCTCCGAGGAAGTCGGGACCCGAGAAGAGCTGAATCTGGGGGCAGAGACGAGAATAGGTAAGAGTGAAGGAGGGCAATGGAGTGAACCAGAGAAAATGGGGGTGGGGGGCGGAGATCTGAAATGAGGGAAGAGACATAAGCCTCCACCAGCTCCTTACCCTTGAGACAAAGTGCAGATTGTGCTCCTCGACCTGAAAGGTGAGATCAAAGTTTCAAAACATAAGGAGGGTACCAGCCCCTCGCCTTAGTTCCTCGGGCTTCAAAATTCCCGACCCTGGCTGTAGCTCTCCCAAGTCTTAGATCATTAGTCCCGCCCCCACCTGCCCCCAGCAGGGTCCTTCCAGACCCGGGTTGTGCGGGGCGCCTCACAGACTCCAAGTCCCACCCTCCCAGAGGCCCCGCCTTCGGACCGCACCTGCAGGACCGGCTGAAGTGAGGCGAGGGCGCTGTTGCCTGCGCCCCAGTCGTCGCAGTTGCGGTACACTCCCTTCTCCAACACGTACTGTTCCCCGGAGAAGCCCACGTCCCGATAAGCCACCCACCTACAGAAGGGGAGAGGCGTGGATCAGCGGGGCGGTGCCCGCACCTCTGCTGGAACCGCCCCGGCCCGCCCCGGCCCGCCCCGCTGTCACTCACACGCCGCTGAGCACGTGGATAGCCTGCGTGTGGGTGCTGTGTCCCGCCAGCTCCACGTCCGGCAGTGCCTCGCTCACCTCAACGTGCTGCCCCTCGAAGTCCATGGCCTCAAACAACACCACGGCCGGATCCGAGAAGTCCTGGGCCCCAGGGACAGTCAGGTCTCTCCCGCCCACCCACTGACCCCCCTCGGAGCGACCAGACCCCAGGGAGGCAGACCACCAGGGGACTTTGGGGTGAGGTGATCAGTGTGACCTGGAGAAAAGGAGCAGGAGGGAGAGAGGCTAGACCTCAGGGAACACTTCAGATGCTCTGGAGAAGAGGGAGATGGAACATAAATTCTTCTCTCAACGAACTGTACTGGGGAGGCGGGTGGGGGAGTATGGCTGTGATCAGAGGCAGGGGGATGGCCCAACTGACATTGCTTACCGTCCGGATGACCCGCAGGGAGATCAGCGCCTCGTCATAGCCTCCCCAGTGTGACCAGTCAGGGTATTCCCCCTCCTCCAGCAGATACTGGTGGCCCCGGAAGCCTTCCTTCTCATAGCCCACCCAGCTGGGGGAGGGTGGAGGCAAGCAGACTCAGTCAGAGAAGGCCCCTAGATGTGAAAGACAGCTGCCCCCACCCCTACCCAACCCAGATGACCATTTCCCGCCCCTAGAATACAGAGCAGTGGGATGGGTAAGGTAGAAGGAAGAGTCCTGAGTCCTTACCAGCCTCCAAGAACTCTCAGGGACCCCACGGAGGCCAGGTGGGGGCTGTGGCTGTCCTCTGGCTGCTGAAGGTTGTAGATGTCCCGGCTCACTTCCCAGCTTCGGCCCTGAAAGCCTGGGGCCTCATAAATCACAGCCTGGGGAAAGAGGTGGTCGGGTTGCTGGGGAGCGATCTGGACCCGAACAGAGACAACCAGTCCAGGATGGCTCTGCCCAGCATCAGCCCATAGCTAAGCCGTCCCACGCCCTCACTGGGCTCTGTGCCTGAACTCCTGTCTCCTCTGATCTCCGACCTGGTCCTTACACATCAACAGCCAGTTCCCAGTGAGCCCATCAGGTTCCCAGTGAGCCCATCAGGTTCCACCTTCCAAGACTCAGCTACTGGCTCCCAGGACCTTCCTCTCCTTTCTTCCAGTCCAGCCCACAATAGCCACACACACACATACACACAACCCACCCAAAGGTCCTCTTTGACCCAGAAACCCAGACTCTTACCTTGGGCTCCCCTGGCTTCTCCACTCTTGGGCAGCCCTGCAAAGGAGACAGAGCTGAGGCACCAGCCCAGAGGTGGGGGAAGGCAGATGGGGCTGGTCACCTAGGATTTACTTGATCCTGAGACCCCTAAAAATGGCCAACTGCATGTTCTCCCTATCCCCCACCCCTTGGGTGATCCCATGTCTCCTCCAGTCCCATTTCCAGCAGGAGCTCCCAGGCCCCGCCTCTTCCCTGAGACTGTAGGACAAGGCTACTTGGAACCGCCTACTCCTTACCAATTTCATGGGCTTCAGGGAGCCCACGCTGGGGTCTGATGTACCCCAGGCCTCAGAGTTGGGGTACTCTCCAGGTTCCAGGATGCAGGGAGTGCCTTCAAAGAAGGGTTTGGGGTACAGCAGCCACCTGGGGGAGGCAGAGAAGTAGCTTCACCCCAGACACCTGGGGACACAGATTGGTGGATGGGAGGGAAGGCTTAGAGAGCAGAAGGAGGTTTTGGGGGACAGGCCTCTGTCAAGGCGACTCTGGAGGATATTTCAGGCCCCCATAATCTCTTGCAGTAGCCACTCCATCAGTGTCCCTTCCTCTTGCCTGGCCCTCTCTTGTTTCACACAGCAGGAGAGTTCTCTCTAGTACACAGACCTGCTTAAAAATCCCCAGTAATTTCCTGTTAGCCAATAATACAGTCCAGCTGCACAAAGAAGCCTTTCAGTCTGTCCCGCTGCTTTCCTCCTAGGCCTCACATCTCCCCACTTGCTGCTTTCTCTGAACAGACTGGATTTTCAAAGCTTAGACCTCTCACCTCTGGACCTTTGCAGGTGTTGTTCCCTTTGCTGGGTATAATCTTTCCCCTATTCATTCAATTAACAATATTTAGAGTCATCTGCCCGTGCCAGGCCCTGCTTTGGGCATGAGGGATACAGTAGTAAACTAAATATACACAATCCCTGTCCTCAGGGAGCTTAGATTATTCTGGGGCCAACTCATCCCAGCTGAGGCATCTCCTCCTCCTGGAAGGTTTCTGTGACTTCAGGCTGGTTTGGTGCTTTTCTGTACTCCCGCAGCTCTGTGCTCCCCCATCCCAGAATGCTGAGTTGCCACTGTCTGCTTATTCCTCTTTCCCCACCAGTAGACTGAGCACTTCATGAGGGCAGGACCTATAGTCTGTCACCTATGTGTCCCCAGCACCCAGCACAGTGAATGTTAAATGAAAGGATTCCAGAACAGCCCAGACTCACAGTCCTGCAGAGACAGTGGCAGATGCCACCTGCAGGGGCGTCTTCAGGCTTTGGGGGTCCTCCAAGGAGTTGGTTAGCTTCACTTGCTCCCCCTTGAGACCCTCCTCAGAATAGAGGCTGATCTCTGGGGTAATGTAGTCCTGAAGGAGAAGGGTGGAAAAATGAAGTGTAAAGCAGCGCCTCTCAGAGACCACCCCCACCTGCAGCTGCTTCCCCAAGTCTGCCCGGCCAGGGCTCCAGGGGGCTTCGGGGAAACCTTTGTGACTGTGTCCCCAGAAGCTAAGAGAATGACAGGGGTGTAGACAATCCCAACACCAAAGTCCTTGCTGGTCCCACCCTGAACCTTCAGGACCTGAGACCAAAGTTCTCAGCAGAAGCCTGCCAAGTGCCATGCCCTTTGCCTTGCCTCTGGGTAGCCTGACTTCCAGCCTGCTGGAGGGGCAGGTGGGATGGACAGCTGCTTCCTGAGGTCTAACTTCAACTATTCCTTTAAATCTAATCCCTGCCTCTGTCCAGACTGGTTCCACCTGCGCCTCATCCCAGGAAGCAACAGGCCCTCTCTGCATTCTGGGTGTTTCTTCCTCACCAGGACCATTTTCATTGACTCCCTCCTTCATCAGATGTTTATGAAGCATCTACTGAGGGCAAGGCACTTTGCTAAGGGCGCCCTACCCCACCTCACTTAGTCCTCTCAGCGGGAGTTACCGCTCCATTCTCAGACTAGGAAAGAGGCTCAGTGAAGTCAAGCAGCCTGCCCAAGGGCACGCAGCCTATAAGTAGCAGGGCCAAGAAAAGAGCAGTTTAGTTTTTGTTCACCCGGTACCACCCATGTGTCTAGAATACTCTACGTGTCCAATCAACACCGAATTAATCAAGTGAATCCAGGTCCACCTGACCTCAAAGCCCTTGTTTTTCTCCTGTACCTTGTTACCTTCCACACAATGATGAGAAGATCACAATAAATTGTCTACAAACGTTTGTGTGTTTCTGGAGAGGCTTTGAAAACTGCCCTAGTTGAGAATCATCAGCTCTCGTCCTCTCTTACCACGAGGACTGCAATAGCTCTGGGCTCGGAGTTATTCCTACTCTCATTAAAAACAAAAACACAAAACAAAACGCCTGATTGGCTCTGATTTCTCTTCTGCTTCTCCCGAGTGGCCAAGATGGTTTTGTCAAGCTTAATTTTGGTAGTTTGTAAATTGGTGTTATAAAAACAATGTTGTTTCCCCCACCCCCCGCCACTTTACAGATATGAAACTACAATATTGACCATGCCTTTTCAAACCACACATCCCACCCTCAAAGTTCAGGAGTGCTCTTGGGCTGGAAATCACAGCCCTTCCTGGCCTTCCTGCCTCTGGGACCCTCATCCAGCGTCTTCTCCTCCTGGTAGCCAGAGTGATGTTTATAAATCCCTAATCTTATTATATGGCGCTTCTGCTTCAAACCTCATCCTGAGGCCCTAGCTTGAGTCCAGCAGGGCAGAGAGCAGGTCTCCCCCAGCCCCATGGCCTGGTGTGGTGACTGGCACACAGCAAACATCGAGCATCCTTGAGCCAATGAAAGAACAAATGTCCAAAGCACCTCGGGCCTTACTGTGGGCCTAAGAGCCTGGGCCCTGCGGGTGGGGGAACGCCATATCCACCCCCACCTGTTTCCGCTGTTCTAATGAAATATTTCTCCAGAGCCAGCTCAAACTTCCCCCGGCTGCTTCCCCAAGCTGGGGATTGGCCTCTGCCTGGGCCCGCCTCCTCAAGCCAGGCTGAGCACTCTCCAGTTGGCTCCAAGGTCAGGAATCTATAGGTGGGTCCATAATAACCCTAACCCTTCTGCCCCCTACCCAGTGCGATCTATCCCAGAGATTCCAACCCTATGCACCTGAGGCTCTCTCCCTCCTCAGGGCGGGGGGCCCAGGGTAGACAGGGCAACATCCAGCCCCTAACCTCAGCCCACTCACCCGGACAACCCTCCTCAGGGATCCGATGCCTTTGATACTCCACGCTGGCCCCGAGGCTCTGAGTTCCACATTCCCTTCAGGCAGGACCAGTTTCTGGCCTTGGAACTCTGGCTTTTCGTATAGCACCCAGCTGTGGGCACAGAGAAACAGGGTCACTGGGTGGGAGAGGATATATCCGGTGATATGGTGATACCTCTCGATAGCTGAGGGGGTTTCTGCCAGGTTGGCTGAGCACTTCCCCCTGCCACCGCTGCCCCCGGGGTCACAGGCAGCCCCTCCCCCCTCAGGCATGCTGCACTCACCAGCCTCGAAGCACCCTGATGGAGGCCGCCCGGGCCCAGCCGGAGGCATCCGCAGTGTCCTCCCAAACCTCCCTGCTGCTGCCTTGGCAGCCGGGCTCCGAGAAGAGGATCACCTGGAGAAGACACACGGGGGTCCCCGGGCTCTGTCTCAAGGTTCCGCCTCCTGCTGCCCCCTCCCACATACTTGCCCCCCACCCACCTACCTTTCCTGGCCTGGTGTTCGGCTTGCCCTGGGTCTTTGATGCTGGGCTCTGGAATGGAGGCAGTGATAAGTCTTATGGGGTTGTCTTCTTGCTGCCTCGCACAGCCTGCCACTCTGAGCATTCCACATCCTCCCTATTAACCTCTACCCCCACGGAGGGCACCGCACTTGTCCCCAGCCCACCCTGTCCCAGGAGCTGGGTCCCTATCACACCCCTTCCCCAGCTTCCAAGAGATTGGAGCCACTAAGCCCTTTGGAATCCACAGTGCAAACCTCTTCCTGTTGGGACAGGGAGACTGAGGCCCAGAGAGATGCAGCTTGCACAGGGTCACACTGAGCCATACCTCAGGCCCAAGCCTAACGCCCAAACCTCTGCTTCTGAAGATCCTGCTTCCCAGCACCACGGCCCTCATACCATCCAAACCCTGCTGAGGCCAGGCGCCCTCCCTGCCCATCCAAGGCCTCACTCACCCAGCCCTCAGGGGGCCCAGCACGTTCAGGCTCCTCTGTCGGCACCCGCTCGCTGCAGAGCAGGGGCAGCTGTCCGGGCACCTTTCTGAGCCCTGGTGCCCCATGAGGAGGCAGAGCAGATAGTTTTGTGCCCAGTGATCCCAAGGCAAGGGCCTCCTTGGTGGCGGTCACCAGGCCACCAAAGAAAAGACTGCCTCCAAGGCGGGAAGTGGGCCTCGCGCCCTTCTGCCACTCTGCCCCCGGCTCTGAGCGGGAGCGCTCGGCATCTGTGACATGCTTCTTCATCATCTCCAGCGGGGAGTAAGAGGTCTGGGGGGGCCTGGCAGGGCAGGGATCCCAGGAGAAGCTGGTCCCAGCTTTCTCCTGCTTGCGCTGGAGCTTCTCATCGTCGCTCAGGTAGGGGTTCTCCGGTTCCTCCTCCTCGTCCTCCTCCTCTTCCTCTTCTTCCTCCTTTTCTTCCAGTGCAGGCCCCTCCTGGGGGCTGGGTCCCAGCACCCATGGCTTGGGCTGGTCCTCCTCGATAGCAGGTAGCGTGGCATACATGGCCAGGTAAGAGGAGCGAGGGGCTCGTGGCAGCCGGTGAGTGCGGAGGATCTCAGGGGACTCCATGCTCCGCAGAGTGTCCAGGAAAATCTCCAGGTCAGCATCCAGAGCCACCTCCTCCTCCTCCTCCTCCCTCGAGGATTCCAGGGGCATCTTGCCTTCAGTGGAGTCAGGGACAAGCTGGGACTCTAGGCTGGCCTCCTCTGCCATTGGCCCTGGGACCGGGGGCCCGCCTGGGCTGGGGGGCACTTTTCCCCCTGAGGAGGAGGGAGCAGGGAGAACAGCAGGACCCTGGACAACCTCTTTCTGGGTGGGAGATGAGATGGGGCTCCCTTCAGAGCCCTGGGCAACCTTATCCTTGTTGGGGGATGGGATTGCAGGAGCAATCAGGTCTTGAACAGACACTTCCTTGGTGAAGGAAGGACCAAGGCTGCCTTCGATACTCTGGACAACATTTTTTTGGGTGCTAGGCCTGTCTTCTGGGCCCTGGACAGCCTTGGTTGCTTTGGGGGAAGAAGCGGCAGGAGCACTAGGGCCCTGCACAGCCCCTTTCTGGGTGCGGGCTGTGTCAGCAAGACTACCAGGGACCTGCACTATCTCTTTCTGGGTAAGGGAGAAGATAGGGACCTCTTCAGAGTCCTGAACAACCTTATTCCTTGGGGAAGATGGAGCAGAAAGATCCCCCGGGCTGGGGATCAACTTCCTTCTTGTAGGGGATGGAGAGTGTCCAGGGACGATAGCAACCTCACTTCTCACTATGGGCATGACGGTGGCAGCAGGGGGATCTGTGACCCCTCCCTTTCTCACAGAGGGCAGGGCCTGGGTTCCCTTGGGATCAAGAGTGAGCTGGACCCCGGGAAGAGTGGGCACCACAGGCTGCTCAGGAGGGTCGTCTAGGCCGAAGGAAGGGGTGTGGGTCTGGAGTGCGGGAGAGGAAGGCACTGGTGCGTGGCCCTGAGAGGTGTGGAGAGGGAACTGGCTGGGGTTGGAGGCTCCCTGCACCCTTGGGACCTCAGGGGTCCTGGTATCCCGACCTCGGCCCTGGTCTTGGCCGGGGTGGGCTGCAGGGACCTCTTGGATCGGAGGTGGGCGAGCACCCTCTGGGGTACCTACAGGGGCTGGGTCCGGTCTGTCTTTTGGCTCTGTTGTCCCCAGCTCAGGCAGCTGCCCCAGGGCTGGGCCCGCTGTGCTGCTCAGACCTGGACTCCTTGGCATGGGAAGCCTGCTGGCAGGTGGGTTTCGCTCAGCAGGCACAACGCTGCTTAGCAGCTCCAGGGCCTGACTGCGGCTGGGCAGGCCCTCAGCCCTGGGGTTCACCACTATCGCCCGGATAGTACTGCGGCCCCTGGGCAGCACTGGCTCCAAAGTCACAGAGCTCCTCACCCGCTGGTCCACATGCCCTCCGACCACCACCGTGGTCCGCACAGTGCGCATCACCCGCCGTTTCTCAAGGCTCATACCTGGGTGGGGGCTTGGCTCACGGGGCCCAGGCAGGGGCACCAAGAGCTCAGTCCTTGCCATGGCTCCCAAGCTTGGTGGCTCAGTCCTAGGGTCTCGGGAGCTGCCATCACCCTCGTCCGCAGCCTCTTTCAGCCTCCCCACCAGCCTTTTCTCCCTGGGGGGTAGTGTGTACTTTTTGGAAAAGATGGGCCCATGGCTCTGGAAGCCCTTGGAGCTACCCCCAATTCGGGGGCCTTGGTGGTTCACAGTCTCTTCTCCGCTTGCAGCAAAGCCATTGACTTCCTCTCCACGGTGATTGTACTCAAACGTCTCCTCCTGGGGGACTTCCATCTGGGTATCTGACACCAAGGACACCTTGTGAAAACGGTGTCTGGTCTCTTCCTGCGCAGGGGGCCGCTGCTTCCACATCAGTCTGGCACTCACCACTTGGGCCTCCGCCCGAGCCGAGGACCCACCTGCCTCCTCCATGCTGGGCTCCAGCAACCTGTCCTGAAGAGAACTTGGCTCGCTGTGGCCCAGCTCCCTGCAGAGGTGCCAGAAAAAAAGAGAGACTGGGTCAGGAGTGGTGAGGAGGGCTCTCTGTAGTGCTGGATAACTACTTCTGCCGAGGTCAGGTGGGCAACCTCAGGCAAGTCTTTTGATCTTTTGGGCCTTTGTTCCTTTATCTGTAAAATGTGTATGATACTCGCAGCCCCTTCCCCACTTTCAGGTGACCCCCTATGCCAGGGACCTCCCAGGGGTAAAGCTGTGGCCTGAGCCTTCAAGGAGAGGGAAGGGAGAGAGCAAAAAGGCATGTGTTCTGAACTCTGGCCTATGGATGGGGCCGGGATTCTGCCCGAGGAGCCCTAGGCCTGGTCCTCCAAGCATCCAAAAGTGGAAAACCAGAAAGCTGAAAACTAGGCAGCTGTTCTGATCCTGCTCCTGCCATTAGAAGGAAGGGAAGGAAAGGCAGGCCTTGGCTTCACGCGGAGCTGGGTCCCCCCGCCCCGTCGCTCACTAGCTAGATAACCTTGGGCAGGCTGCTCTTCCCCTTCCGGCTTCAGGGATCCAAGCCACGAAACTGTAATAAGAAGAGTATGTGCTTCATAGGGTTATTGTCAGGATGCAATAAGAGAGAAAGAACAAAAGTCACCTTATAAACTAAAACGCGGGCTCATAAATTCCGCTTTGTCACCTTGGAGAACTGTGACCAAATACTAGCAGGTGTGGACACCCGTGTGCTGGCATCAGCATGTAGCATGACTGTTGGAGCATAGGTGCACGTCTGAGTGCGTCTGTGGGCCTTGGTGAAGCTTCTCAGGGCCCAGTACTTTGGACTTAAATACACTTTCCCTCAGTTTTCTCCTCTATGGTAATTTCCCCTATTGTACGGATGAAGAAACCAAGGGTCAGAGGACTGGCTGACTCAGGGCGATGCACCTGTCAAATTTGAAGCTGGGGATTGAAGCCATGTCTGAATCCATGCCCAGGCACCCTCCCTCCTGCTCCCGAGATGACGGCTTTCATCACATCCAGCTATTCCTAGGTCCTCTCCAGCACAGCGCATCTTACCTTAACTTTTGTAAGGGGTGGGGCCAAAGCCTTCTTTCTTTTCTGACCCTCCTTGATCTCTCTGGGTCTCCATTACCTCCTTTATTAAATAGGGGATAATAATAACAATTGTCTCAGAAGACCTCTAAGCTCCCTGGAAACCCTCCAGTGAATCTATTTTAATAGTAACAGCAACAGCCATTTGTTGAAGGCTTACTCTGTGCCAAACACCTTGCTTTACATTATCCTTTATGTTCGTGGTCCTATGGAACCCTCAAAAGAATCCCATGCGTTTGATACCTCATAAAGAATAAATTATTAAATTATAAACAAATATTCCCATTTTGCAGATGAGGCGGGGGAAAGGGCTCAGAGAGGCTAAGAAACTTGCCCAGAGTCACACAGTATCAGACACAAGACTTGAACCCCAGCCCTAAGTGCTTAACCACCAGAGCAAACTCCTCAATTACCTGGTAACTGAGACGTGATGGTTTGGAGGTTTCCTTGTATTATTTTATTTCATATTTTGTTTTTAGAGAGAGGGGAAGGGAAGGAGAAAGAGAGGGAGAGACACACATGAGAGAGAAACATCAGTCGGTTGGTTGCCTCAACTGGAGATGCGCCCACAACCCAGGCACATGCCCTGACCAGGAATCAAACCAGCGACCGTTTGCTTTGCTGGACAACACCCAACCAACCGAACCGCACCATTCAGGGCTGGGGGGCATGCTTTTAAAGGGGGTCACAGCAGTCCTGGGGGGGCCATGCAGCCCCTGCTCTGACTTCCAAGTTGCGCTGACTAGGGTGGTCCTGTTCTTCGGCCCCAAGGACCCATGAAGTGAGCGTGTTCATCCCCAGCCTCAGACCCACCTCATCTTCAGGTCTGCTCGTCCTCTCCATGAGGCAGACCCTAGACCACTAGGAAGGAAGTCAAGGTCGGAAACGGACCCATTACCCCAACTTCCCCCCACCCATCTCTATTTTTCTCTCTCCTAAGCTGGTGAAACCCAGAACTTTGACCCTGCCCTGTGGCCCCGGCAGTGACTCAAGTTTTACAAGGGGCAGAGATGAAAGGGACTGAGGCCTAGGGAAGCCTGACCCGACTCGGAGACCACTGGTGACTATGACAGCATATGGCCTAGCCCGGGACAGGGTCTGAGTGCCCCCAGAAAAGCCTTGTGCCTGGGGAAGGCGGCAGGCTACGAAGGAGCCCGTCCATTTCCCAGGGCAGGGTTCCTGAGAGCAGGACACCGCCAGACACCCGAGGCCCTGGATACATAGCCCTTCACTGAGGGTCTGACCCTCCCTGCCCCCCATCCTCACGAAGGAGCCCCCTTTCTTCCAACAGAACCTGTGTCCTTCGTGCTGGGATTTCCCCTACCTGAGCTTCGCCCCCTCGCTGTGCCCTGCCCCCCAGGCTCTTTTTAATTTCTGAATAACAATAATAACAACTACCATTTGCTGAGATTCCCTGTCCCTAATGGCATTATATTAAGGGGCAAAGCCTGGGTTCTAAGTCATTCATTCCTTCAATGCTAATGGTGTTTAGGTGATGCCCTAGTTTCTGGTAGGTTCATCCAAAGCCAACTTTCCCATACAGGTGGTATCCTAGGAGTCCAGGGGTCAAAGAATTAAACATAGAAACAGAAACCACATTTAGAAGGTCCCATAGGCTTTGGCAAAGCAACAGGAAAGCAGCTTCGGAGGAAGCCATTGATAATCAGATTAACTATTGTCAGAATGCAATGCCTCTCTCAACCCAACCCAATTCCTGGACAACACCCCTGATAGTCACTCATTCCTCAAGCATGTGGTCATTTGCTTCTGCTTGCATACCTCTAGGGACAGGGAAGTCATCATTTGACAGTTGACCTGACTGATCCCTAGACAGTCATGACTGCTAGAATGTTCTTCAAACTATCCTGGAAACTGGCTGTCTATAGCTCCCCCTTTTTGTCCTTGCTCTGAAGATACACCCTGATGACACAGGATGCCTTTCGTAGGCCAGGAAAAGTGCCCATTCCCAGAGCCCTCCCAGGGCCCCATATCAGAAGTGGATTTGTTGGCAGGGTAACTTGTGACCTCCAAACAAGGTGTGTGGAAGGGAGAGGCTGAGGAAGGGGCGGGGGGAGTGTGGGAAAGAGCCTTGTCTAACCCAACAAGTCCTGGATTCTCCTCACTTACCTGTGAGTCACCCCCAGACTAAGCCAAACCAGTCTACAGGTCCACATGTTCACAAACACATGCTGTGTCACACTGGCACACACTGACACACAGACAGGCACCAGCACAGGCCCCCAGAGTAGCACACGCACAAAGCCACACACAGACCATTATGTTGACTTACACAGTCAGACCCACAAACACAGAGAGCTTACAGAGACACAGAAACACCCAAGTCACAGACACACAGAAACACATAGATACAATGACACAAGCACACATTCATAATACATGCACATAGTCACTTCATAGCCCCAAGCCCTCCTCTTCCTGAAATTCACCTATACTCGATCAGACACACACCCTTGAACGCATCCACATTCCCACTTGCAGACCCAACAGTGTCCCACCTCCCCACCCCCTGTTATTTGCCAATGCTGGCCCAGGAACCCTGAGGACAAAGAAGGATGCTGTCCCTGGAGGTCCACTTCCTCCTCTCTAAGTGAGCCCTAGCCTGCTGCCAGAGTCTATCATTATCTACCTGGGCCCAAAATAGCCAGGGAGTGGCAGATACAGACCCAGTCCCCCCAGCTAAGCCTACTGCTTCTTCTGCCCTCTCTCCAAGGCCTGCCTCCTCCACCACCTTCCCTCTCTGCAGCCCTACTCTTCCAGCTGGGGCACCCAGGCAGATCTCTGAGCCAGCCAAGGTCCCACGTCTCCCTCTTCCTTGCCATAGGACCAGGTACCCTGACTCCTGCCCAGAGGCCTGGGCACCCTGAGGCTGCTTCTGCTAGCACAGTGCCACCAAACCCACCTCCACAGGGTCAGAGAAAACCCTGGAGTTTGACTGACAACCATACGCAACCCTCACTGTCCGCACAGGTCCAACGAGGCCTCTGTGAGAGGCAGGATGAGAAGTGGTTAGAGCACAGGCACCCGTGTTCCAATTCTGGCCCCTTCACTTTCTAGTTGACTTTGGGCAAGTGAGGTAACCTCTCTGAGCCTTAGTTTCCCTATTGTAATCAGGGCGTAGGGTGCAGAGCAGGATTAGTCCTATTCCATGGGGCTGTTGTGAGGATAAAATAGGATTATGTTTAGAAAGCCATAAATGACAGCCACTACCATCATCACTAGGATGTTTTCAGAGCCCTGTTTGAGGCCGAGTGCCCCTTTCTGGTGGTCCTAGAGAGATGCCACGTTCACCGCTTCCCAAGTGAGCTTTAGGGAACCCACCCTTTCACCTCTGAGCCCACCAAGCAAAGTTGGGAGAGTTATTTCAATATAAATAAAAATCGAGGAAGATTGGGAATCTCGGTGCCTGTTCCTTTGGCCACTGACACAGAGCCAGGTGGGTAATTATTGCTGCAACTGAGGTGTTATTAATAAGCATCTCTGCTATTTTGGCAGCACAACTCTCTGGAGTTCAAAGCATGATTCTGTAACCACCTCATCTCCAGTTACCAAATCTACTCGACAACTCTAGGACCAGATTGGTTAAGCAGCTTGCCTCAGGACACCCAGCTGCTTGGCTGGTGCCTATTCCCAGGTGGGTTCTGTGGTCTCCCAAACAGAACCAGAGGGCAGTGGGTGTTGCTGAAGAGATGACCCCTCCCCCATCCTCTCCCTCTCCGCAGGTGGACAGGGGAGGAGAGCCGCAGTGGGTTCCAGGACAGAGGCTGCGGGTGACGGGAGGGGGACGAAGGCAAGCGGGGTGGGGAGGGGATGGCAGTCAGTTCACGCTCAGGGAGCTGAATGAATGGGCCTGGAGCTGAGGAAGTCTGGAGAGGAGGCAGAGACCCCAGAAAGGGCAGCCAGGCCAGCTTCTCCTCCCACCACCGTCCCATGTGGGGACCAACCTGTACTCACCGTCTGCGTGGGGACCCAGGTGTCCAGCGGGCCAGGAGCTCCTGCTGCTGGGCTGAGCTCTCCTGATGCCGTGAGGTTCTTAGCCGGGGCTCCTGGGGCGGGTCAGTTGGGCACCCCGTGATGGGGCGGGGCCCCTGGGGAGGATTCTGCCAGCCCCTGAATTCCTCAGGGCAGAAGGGGTGGAGAGCTGGTTGGGCCGGTTTGGGCTCCTCACCCTCTTCCCCAGGAGTCTGCCCACGCCCCTGCAGGGTGACAGTGATGTGGTAGCGGGTCCTCCTGGCAGAAGGACGCTCAGGTAGGATCTGGCTTACCTCTGGCAACACTGGCCCTGGGGCTGCAGGCTTGCCCTTTGTCCCCTCTGCCTTGGAGAAGGATGCTGGGCGGGGCAGCATGTCTTTCACGTTGCCAGGTGGCTCAGGATTCAGAGGGACCTCTGGAGCTGTGTATGGGGGTTGTGAGCAAGTGCAGTCTGGAGTTCCCTGTTCCAAACGTCCAGGAGCTGACACCGGGCATGAGGGGCACCTGGTACCAGCAGGGTCTGCTGCCAGCGCTGGCCTCTCCAGGCCCATGAAGGCATAGTTGGCCATGTCGGAGGCGCTGCCCACAGCTGGCCTCTGTAGGCGCCCCAAGGGCTGAGCGAGACTCTCTGAACTGTGTCGTCGCTTCCTAAACCAGGAACCACGGCTCCCATCCTGAAGGTCCCACTCTGAGCAGCTCTTGGCTCGGGTCTGAAGGAAAGCAGAGGCAGGAGCCTGGTGACAGCATCTTCCCCCACCCTCCAGGCACCCCAATCACCTTTGACTGCCCTCCTTGGCACAGGAAAAGCAGAGCGGCCCTGAGCAGATGCTGCCAGGACCATGAGCTGGACGAAAGGGCGGAGCTCTGGGAAAGCCCCTCAGCATTCAACTCACCCCTCCCATTTTACATATGAGAAAAGTGAGACCCAGAGAGAACACTGACATGAGTAATGTCACACGTGAGAGCCCAACTCTCAGGCCAGCTGCTGCTTTCCCAAGACCCACAGGTCTCTGGTCCTTTGGCATCAGCTGCCCTGGGGATTAGGGGCTTCATAGGCACATCTGCCACAGTGCCCATGGCCTCTGCCCGCTCCAGGTTTCCAGAGAGCCCGCAGCCACCTCCCCAGTACCCTCCCACATGAGATTCCCAGGCACACCCGGGCAGAGAGATGTACCTGGGACACAAAGGAGTCAGGGAAGAGGCTCTCCCTGAAATTGGGACAATCCTGACCTGCGTCTGCTGTCTTCCACCGGGACTAAGTCTGGCTGTGGGGTGAAGGGGTAGGGCCCAGGATACCAGACCCAACTAGACACCGCCCTCCCTCCCCAAATCCACCAGTTTTTAGTGATGGGCTTATGCTCTTGGCAACAGAGGAGTCAAACCCAAGTGTGGGGTCAAAAGTTCCTTTTAGCAGGGACCCTTGATCCCAAATGCCTCAATTTCTTAATCTATGAAATAGATGCAGCCTCTCCTTCACCAGAGGCTGAACACCTCAAGAGCCGGGAGGGGAGAGTGATTCATGTGGGGCCTGGAGGTGGCAACCAGGGCTTGAATCCTAGCTCTGCTGCTTCCCAGCTGCAATACCGCTTGCATCTTAGATTCCTCATGTGCAAAACTGGCGTGATAATAACAGTACCTGCTTTCTGGGAGTGCTATGAAGATTTCATGAGATAATCCATGCAGAGCACCAGCAAATAACCACTACTCAGTTAAGTGCTAGTGATTATTAATGGTATTCAGGACCACAGAGAGACACGCAGCTGCCTGAGCCAACTTTAAGAGGAGGAAACTCACTACTGCCCAATCCATGGCTCAGAGGGGAAAACTGTGGCCAGAAGATTAAGCCACTGGCCCAGGAGGTGGGGAAAAGGGACCAAAGATGGGAGGAGGTCAAGTTAAAGCAGGAAGTGTGGGAAAGGTGTCCTGGGAACAGGTGCAGACCCTACATGCGTCCCTGGGGGCGGGGCATTAGGAAGCTCCTATTTCCTGAGTCTTTAAACCCCATACTGGATGCTCTACACCCACTACTCATTTCTCACAGCTGCTCTGAGAGGCATGATTGTTCCCCTTTTGCAGATGGAGAAACTAAGGTTCAGAGATGAGGAGTGATCTGCCCAGGGTCGCCCAGTGAATCAGTGGCAGAGGGAGGACTAGCGAACTCCGGTTGTCTGACTTATGAGTCCGGGTCTGCCCCTCCCAGAGCTTCAGCCCCCTCCTTCCCTCCCCTTTGCAATGCATTCCCTCCTACCTTGAGGCTGACATTGCTGGTGCCGCCCTGGCCTTGGGCCAGGTCAGGGCAGCTCTGGCCACCCCAGGGCCTAGAAAGGAAGCACAAGGGGAAGGGAGTGAGGTGGCTTCCTCTCCCCCCCGCCCCCCCCCCCCGCAAAGACTGAACACAGCGGTCCTCCCCCGACTTCTCTCAGAGCTCACAGGCTGGATAAGCTCCTGAAACTTGGGGAAGGTGGGGGGCCTGTGCAGCAGCCCCCTCTCTGCTCCCTCCCCTAACTGTCCGCTCCACTCTCAGAGAGAGAGAAAGAGACAGAGATGAGTTTGGGAGAAAAGTGGGTCTAGGCCTGTATCAGGGCCAGAATAAAGAAAAAGTACAGTGCCCTGATAATTCGAAAGCTCGCCATTTGGTGCACTAGGCTTAGCACTAGGTATTGCACCTGCATGATCTTTTTTAGCCTCACAATAATCCTGAAAGGTGGATATTAGTGCCCCATTTTTTTTTTTTTAGATAAGGAAATTGAAGGCCAGAGAGGTGAAGTACTTTGCCTAGAGTCACATAGCTAATGAGTCTTGGAATTAAGACACTAGGACCATCCCGCTTCAAAGGCTGGTTGGCTCTCACCACACTAACAGGGGGCAAGGGGAAGATGAGTCCTGGCTGCCTCCCCCAGGCAGTCTGACCTCCACCCCAGGAAACCAGCAGGAACCGCAGGTCTGTGCCACAGCGCTCAGGCTGGTGAGAACGGAATCCAAGTGCGTATTCGGGGTGTGTCATCACGCTACTGCAGAAGCCAGCGCAGTCCCTCCCCTTCCCTCCGCACCTCTGAATCAGCTGCGCCCCAACCCCACCTCCTCTCAAGTGGGGAAAGGGAGAGGCAGTGCCACCTGGGCCTACAGGGCAGGTTCCTGCCAGACAGGGTAAAGGGAGAGGGTGTGTCTTCCAGCAGGGGAGGGCAAGGCACGGGCAGGGTGCGGGCACCCCCCCCGCCCCCCCGCCTCAGGTCACCCAGGCTTCCCAACACAGAGTGGCTAAGCCCTCTCCTCCCCCTCTCTTTGGGTGAGAGAGCAGTACAGACCCTCCCCCTCACTCTGCCCCCACCAAAACCCCATCCCTCCCAGGGTGAGCTGAAGACTGTTGTGTCATGATACGATCAGTACAAATTGCTGAATAACTGCATAGACACACAAACACCTCACCCTCTTTTCCAATATGGGGCCCAGGAGCCGCTAGGGTCCTCTTTTCACCAATCCCGCCTCCCAGCCATTTGACCCAGCCATCTGCAAAGCCTTTTTCCTTCTACTCCAACATCAGCTGCCAGTGAATGGGCTCAGAGAGATGAAGTAATTTGTTCCAGGTCACATGGCCAGTGGCACCTAGGGCTAAGACAGAGCTCTGGCCCCTAGACTTGCAGTCCTGTGGTCTCTATAAGGCAACAGAGCTGCCCAGGGCTTCAGGATGTGGGCCTGGAGTCAGACAGCTTAAGCTTGTATTCCAGCTCCACCACTTTCCAGTGGTGGTGTTGGACAGGTGACTTTACCTTCCTGAACCTCCACTTCCATATCTGAATCACCCGGAATACCTGCCTCATAGAGCTGCTGTGAGGATTAAATGAGACAATTCAAATAAGGCACTAAGCAAGTGGCAAATAAAGGTTGGTTGTTATTACTGTCTGGGATGACAGGGAAAACCTCTCTGTGGCGTCTAAGGACAAATGCTCTGCAGCCTAAGACAACTCAGGAACTTGTCATACTCCTGACAAAAGGACACAAAGACCAGAGGGAAACTCTTTTGATGTGAGAATCAAAGTCCACAGAGGGGAAAGGAGCTACTACATTTGCTTTTAAACTGTCTCCTCCGGAGAAGAAATCATTGTCTGCAAGCGTCTAGCCCCAATTAGGAAATCGCAAAAGTTGTTTTAAAGTTTCAAAAGAGCACAGGGACTTTATAAAGGCCGTTTTCACATTCGCATATTCAAAATCGACACATCTGTATGCTCGGAGACACTCACATACGTTTATTTGAATATCCACGACACATCTGTATGCTCGGAGACACTCACATACGTTTATTTGAATATCCACTACACTCTAAGACACACATACACACACACACACACACACACACACCCACGCACCCCCCCCCCACCCCATCCCCTCACCTATCCCGGGCTCTGGCTTCCTCTGGGGTCCGCTTCCCCCTGCGCTCCCTGAGGATCCCTAACCCGGCCAGGCGGCGGGCCAGGCGGACCCCCAGGCCCTCGCGCCGCTCGGCCATGGCAAGGGCAAAGCCCTGAGCTTGGGCCACCGGGGCACCTGACCGCTCCGGGCCGTCGGGCCCACCCGGATCCGCTCAATTGCGAAGAACCGCCTACTAAGGTCCGTCCCGCTGAACAAACAGCGGCCCCGCCCGTGTGCGGGCGGGGGACAGATCCAGATACAGCCCATACCCCGGGGCAGCGGGTGCGCTCTGCAGGGGCCGCCGCCACCCCAGGCTGCAGCCCTTAGGGTCGCTGAGCCTGAGTCCCCTCTCCCGGCAGCCTTGCCCGCGCTACTTCAGGCCTCCTCCAGGTCCAAGGGGCCCACTGATGTAGGTATCTCCTAAGCCGGGTCTAAACCAGGTGGACCGGGGAAAAAGGGGCCGGAACGAGCTTAAGTCAGGAGGCGGGGCTGAGTGAAGGGCCTTCCCCACCCCCACGAAGGAGGGGCTAGAACGCAGGGGCGGGGCCCTGTGCGGGAAAGTGCAAGGTCCTGTCGACTGGGCGGGGCCTAATCCTGCGGATGGCATCTAGCTTGGAGTCAAAGGGTCACGTGCCTGGGTGGGCTTAGAACGCCGACTTTGATTACCTGTGGGGCCTGAAGCCTACAGCGCCGTTGTCCGGCCATGGTGTGCTCCCTATGAGAGTTCTCTGTTCTGGAGACGCGCACCCGGGTGGGGAAACAGCAGTGAAGCTCACAGGGATGCGAATGGAACCCCATACTAGAAGCTGTCCAGCTATTGTTATTTAATAATAGCTACCGTTTATTGTGATATAAGGTGGGCCTTCTGCCTCCCAGGCAGGGCTCTTTTCCACCTGATGCTGCCCCTGTAACTCTCAAGTGGGGGTAGGGAACACCTTGCACATTTGAGAGGATCCTCTGGGACGCAAGAAAGGCCATCAGGAGGGCCCCAGTTCCCCAGGCTCTCTTTGCCAGTCCTTCCCGGCCTGTAAGTCTTTCTAGAGCCTCTACCCCTTCCCTGAGCCCAGCACCTCGCTAGCTCTTTACCCTCTGTGGTGACTGGTCCTGGCACACTGGACATCATGCTTCTGGTTCTGATGGACACTGACATCCTGTGTTCCTGCCCCTCTGCTCACACAGGGGGCTCACTCCTGGTGTGTACAGGACATGCATGGCAGGGAGAAACCAGTTAAGAGGGCACTATGGCCTCCTAAGAACTAAAGCAAGAAGGTGGTGGGAAGCAGCAGACAGACATCTGGACAAGTCAGAGGGCAAGGTGTCTCCTGCTTGGCAGCACAGCCTGTACCTGGCAGAGCCCTGGAAGGCAGGACTGTCCATCCGTGAGCTGAGATGAAGGGCCTGGTCCCGAGAGGGAGCAGAACCCAAACCCACACCAAAGGTAGATGGCTGCAGGCATCCATCTCATGTCTGGCAGCACAGGTTCTTCCTGACTGTCTCTTGACTTGCTCCAAGGTGAGATGTGAAGTCTGACAAATACGTGGTGGCTTCTCCCTCCACTGTTGAAGCTCAAGAGGCCTCAACTTGTAGACAAAATGCTTTAATTGCTCTGCCCCGACCATCCCCAGGGCAGCCCAGACACCACCACTCAGGCTTACTGCCCCTGCTTTCCCTGACATGCTGAGGGCACCTTGATCTTGTCTGAATCCCAGCCCCTCTGCCTCTCTGATGGCACCGTCACAAGATCTAGTGGCCCCTGGTGCCACTGGGTGAGGCAGGTGAGAGATGCCAGAGACAGGTGGGTATGAGCTAGGCTACAGGGCGGTGGATCGTGCAGCCGATGGTGCAGCTTCAGGTGAATGTGCTGGGTGAAGCGACTTGGGCAGATACTGCACTGAAATGGCTGGGCACCTGAGTGCAGGCGCAGGTGGGTCTTGAGGTTGCTGGAGCTGCTGAAGCACTTGTGGCATATCTGATGGGAATGGGCATTGGCGTCAGTCCTGCCCACCCAGCTGGCTCAGGATCTCTGCCCCTCCTTCCCACCCCCTTCCCCATCTCCTGGTAATTCAGGCTTGGACACTCACCCCTCCCCCACCCAGGATTCTGCCCTGGGAACCACAGTGTCTGGCACATTGGAGCCAGGCAGACCTGGATTAGTATCATCATTCTTTTACGCCCTGCATGACCTTGTATCAGTGACTTCCTCTCCTGAGCCTTGCTCTCCTTATTGGTTACATATGACTACTAATAGTTGACCTCATCAGTGTGATGGACTGAATGAGATAATCACATGGAAACTTTATGAGTGGAGCTGCAGCTTCAGTGGGCGTAATTAACATTTACTGAGAACAGCCATATGCCAGGAATTGGTTTCATGTAGTCTTCCCCCGGACCACGGAGAAGCATGACTAAGTACTAGTACAACTCCTACATGACAGTGAGGAAGCAGAGGCTCAGAGGAGTAAAGCCACTAGCCAAAGATCACACAGTAAGTTGGAGGCAGAGCAAGGATTTGAATCCACATAGCCCAGACGCATAACCACGATGCTGCTTTCATTTTTGCCTGTGTAAAACAGGGAAGGAGTGCCTGCCCTTCTGACCTCCCAAGGGATGTGGTAAGGCTCAAAAAGAAAGGAAGCTAACATTGAGCCAATGTTATCGGCAGTGTCCTCCAGCAACACTGGGAAGAAGGTAATGGGTTTCCACTCCCCAGGACCCCCCAACTTTATTATCCCCCTCCTACAGACTTGCAATCCTATTTGCCCCTCCAGATCCCAGGAGTGACCTCCAATATCACATCCTGGACCTTCCAGGCTAAGAAGGGTATTTCCACCATCCTCCACATCCCTCTCCACCCCGACCCTCGCCTCCTGTCCTCTCTACTTACTCAGGAGGATTGGGAATGGAGCTTCAGGTGCCATATTTCCCCCCAAGGGACCTGGAACTCCTTCCTCACCTGCCTGCAGGAGTCCAGGGGAGGGGGAGCAGAGTCTCACCAGGCACTTGTGGGGCCGCTCCCCAGTATGCACCAGGTGGTGCTTCTGCAGGTGGGCGAACTGGGTGAAGCTCTTCTGGCACAGGGCACACTGAAATGGGCGCTCCCCACTGTGCACACGCAGATGGACCTGAACCAGGTGTGGGAGAAATGCTGCCAATGGCCCAGAGTCCCCTACAAGGCCTGGGATCCTCTCTGAATCTCTACCCACACCTCCACAGGACCTTGTTTTGACATCAAGGCCTCTGAACCCCCTGGCCTCTCTGTCACCTCTGCTTAGGACCTCTCTCCCATTCCTCAGGATACCTTCTCTTTCAGTTGCCCTGAGGGAAGGGAGGTGGCAGTGGTCAAAAGTCCAGGTAATGGGTAACATATGTCCTGAGCAACACTTCTCAAAGTGTGGTCCACAGACCAGCAGCATCTGTGTTAAAACTGCAAATTCTCAGGCCCCATCCTGACCAGCTGAATTAGAATCTCTGGGGCTGGGGCCTAGGAATCTGCATGTTTACTAGCTCTCTTGGTAGTTTGAGGCTCAGTAAAGTTTAAGAACTCATGCTCTAGAGGATCGAGAAAGGATCTCCCCCAATAATCATAACCTTTCCTCAACCTCAGCAATGCGAATTTGTGCGTAGTGACCCGTCTTTCCTGACAGATAGAGATGTGCCTATAGTCGCTCCCTGTTGGACACCAAGGGCACCAGTGCTGATATGCGGGATCCCACTTGAAAAACGCTGGTCATCAGTTCTGTCATCTAGACTCACTAAAAACTACCCGTTCCCCACTCAACATCAAACAAATAAACACGAGGAGGCTTAACTGTGAATCCAGAAAGGATGGTTGTTCAGGAAAGAGCTTTGCACTAGATGCTGAGAGTCTGAGATCAAGGCCTAACTCTACCATTAAATCAAAGTGACCTTGGGCAAACTTCCCATTAGGAGCCTCAGTTTCCCCATTTTTAACTTAAATTAGATGATCTCAGAGACAGTATTTTAGGGTGGAGAGGACGTTGGTAGCCACCTTCCCTCTACAGATGTGAAACTGAGGGGCCAAAGAACCTTCCAAGGTCACAGCCTAAAGACTGCCCAGGAGTTCCTTTTGGCTTTGAGGTCCTTGATGCTAGAAGCAGGATGGGAAGGGGGGTCATTAAAGGATGCTGAGGAGGGACAGCAGAGCCCAGGAGGCTGATACCTTGAGGTTGGAGAGCTGCCCAAAGCTCTTGCCGCACACATTGCATTCATACAGGATCTTGCCATTCTCTTTCTTCAGCGGGTAAGGCAGGGCTGCCCGTGAGCCCAGTGGAGTCCGCTTTGCTGAAACCACCATGCCAGCGTGCTGTGGCCCCTGGGAGTAGGTCCTGGCAGCTCCAGGGCCTGGAATTCGTGCCCGGGAGAGTTGGGTTTGGCCAGAGGTTTGGAAGGCCCCTGGGTAGGGATGCAGGGTCTCCTCCCGGGAGCTGCGGTGCCCAGATTCACTGAGACTCATCAGCATGCTGGGCATGCTGGGGTAGGAGGTGTCTTGTGGCAGCATGAAGAGGGGGTGACATGGAACAGAAGGTGGGGCCCCATAAGTGAACAGGTGAGGCTGAGACAGGAGAAATGGACACGCAGGACAGAGGGGGTGAAGGTGGAACGGGAGTTCTTTGGAGATGAGAGTCGGTGAGGGGCAGGAGCAGAAAGCCAAGGCGTTGGGGCTCTTTCTAGTCTGCCAGGGGGTTGAGGAAGAGCTGTTGTAAGGAGAGAAGGATGGGCAGGGGGCCTCCTCGTCAGTTCTTTCCTGCTGGCTTCCCATCTTGTCCATGTTCAGGGGGTACTTGGCTGTTAGCTTCTCGTCATCAGGGGAGCCGGCAAGTGGCCCTGGTGGCTGGTGGTCTGGGAAGGAAAGGGAAGCCAGTCAGGGACGCATAGGCCGGGGTAAAGTTCTGCCTCCCTCTAACCTGTCTCACTCGGGGTTGGGAGAGAGCTCTAGCCTGCAAGCCTGTGGGTTGACTGGGACAAGGCATTTCCCCTCTCTGGACTTTCCTGGTCTGCAATTGCACTTGCCAAGAAAAGCAGCTAGTATTTGTGCAGTGCTGAACAATTTTAGGGAGAGAAAATGATTCAATAAGCCTGTTAGATATCTAAATGGAGCCCCCAAGTGGGCAGTTGGATGAATTGGTTTGGAGTTTCAAAGAGAGGTCTGAGCTGAGATATAGATTTGAGTGCCAGGGGCCCAGATGATATCACATGAGGATGACACTAGATCTGCTGTGCCCAGAACGAACACCTGACACATGTCTATGTTGAAATTAATTAAAATAAGTCCAATAGAAAATTCAGCTCTTTGATGACACCAGCCACAGTTAGGCTCAGTAGGTATGGTATTGGACAGCCAGGCATAGAACATTTCCATTATTTCAGGAAGCCCTGTCACATAGTGCTACTGTAAATAAAGAGAAAAGGAGAGCAGAGGAGAAGAAGAGAAGGGAGAAAAGAGGAGGAGAGGGGGAGGAAGAGAAAGGAAGGGAAGAAGACTCTGGTTGAGTTCCAGAACCAGTGAATGTTTAGGAGGTAGGAAGAGAAGAGCTTAGCAAGGAAGACTGAGATGCAACAGCCAATGATGTAGGAGCTGACCAGGAGTGATATAAAGTAAAATACTAAAAAGAAAAAATAGTGAAAAGTAGATTGTCTGCACAGATTGGCATTTATTTACTCAACCAACTTTTCACTCTGTGCTCTGGCAGTGGGGGTAGGGGTGACAAAGGACACAGCAGCACAGTCCCTGCCCTCCAGGAGGTCACAGTGGCATAAGGAAATGGTGTATTACAATGCAATAGCCGAAAACATGGGGACAGAGACAGCTTACTTTTATGGAAGAAGAAACTGGCCTCAGTGATGTGCCCAAGGTCTTTGAGCTACAAGGGCATCACCAGGACTTGACGCCAACTCCCTGAGTCCCAGTCGGTGCTCCTTTCTCAGAATGAAGACTCCTCCAGCTAAACAGGTAGGCAAGCACCATCCTCAAGGCACCCACACCAGATCCCACCCTCATGGCTGAGAAAGCCATCGCCTACCTCCTCGGGGTCAGGTGTCACCACTTTAAAGTCCCCTGCGCCCCTATGTGAGAACTCCAGGCCAAGATGTGTTATTTTAGTGTGCCCGAGTCTCTGTCCTTACCAGTGATACTGGGTCCCCTCCTCTTCCCATCCTGACACCTAACAGTGCCCCCGATCTCCAGCCTCCACCAAGGTGCAGCCTCATGGCCGGGCTTACTTGCACTCAAGGAGTCCTCTCTGAGGCCCCATGGGGTTGTGCCTGGGGGTGCTGGCTGCACAGGGTATAGGTAGAGGTCCAGGCCCTGAGTGCAGGACAGTAGGGCGGACCTGGCTGGTGCCAGTGGCAACGAACGCAGGCAACTGGCACGGGGTGGGCCATGGATGTCCACTGTGTCTGGAATTGGCCTATGGCCTGTGAAGACCTGAAGAGCAAGGGACAAGGGGCTGAGGGCTGTGACTCCTGGGTCCCTGGGCAGAGCCCATCCCTACCTTGGTTTCCAAAGAGAGAGGAGAAGCTAAGAACCACTCACCCCCACCATACCTGTCCCTCAAATGGCGTCCCTTTCCCTCATCCAGATTTCTTTCCCCACAGACTTCCATACCTCCCCCCGGATTACCTTTCCTCCGTTCCTAGAACCCTTACCTAGCATTCTCCTTCCCACTTCTCTTCCTGACCACCCTGATCCCAGTGCGTCTCAGACCACCTACTCTGTCTTGAATGGACTCAAGGTGAACTTGGAGAAAATCCTCATCAAGGCTGTAAACCCGACAAGATGGGCCCTAAGGCCAAGGGCAGGATCATACAACCCAGCCCCCTGAATGGCCCTGTCCCTTTCTCATGGCCCACAGGAGAGCCTGGCCCCTAGGGCATGGGAGAGGGTCTCTGGCACCTCAAGGGCCCATCCCCATGATGTGCTGAGGTAGGGGTGCTCAAGACCAGTGGATGATGGGAATCCAGGCCCCTTCAGTTTTCCCCCACTTCCTTCTAATGTCCCCTCCCTCCATAGCTGACTGGCCTCAAAGTTTGGGCTGCGATTCTACCTTACCTGACCGCCTTGGTAAGGCTGGAAGTCCAGGCTGGAGGACAGGGTGCTTCCTGTGCTGCTCAGGGGCTTGGTCTTGTGGCAAGAACCCAATTCTGGAGCAGGTTCCCCCTTCATGCCCCTGTTACTGCTGGGAAGACAAATCAGTCACAGGTGAGCAGTAAAGGTCCTCGAAATTGCATAGCTTCAAAGGCAGACTCCCTATTAAACCATCATGTGACCTCGAGCAGTCACTGGTCTCCTGGTCTCAGTTTCCTTATCTGCGAAATGGGATGGTTGGACTGGCTGATGCGTAAGGACTCTCTCAGTGCTGACATTTAGGAGCCAATTGTGTGCTCCCAGTCGGTGCAGGAAGAGGACTGAATGGAGACTAGCCAATCAGAGGCGAGGACAGAGTTGGTCTGATTCCCATCCCTGAGGAAGAGAGGGGAGACAAAGGTCTTCATGAAGGAGCCTCATGGAGGACCTTCGTGAAGCTCCAAGTAAGCTCAGAGATCTGAGGGAATATTCCAGACTCCTCGGGGACACAGGTAATTGAGAAGACACACTCCTCCATGCTGGGAGGGGCCCATGACTCTATGACTCTACCAGCCACAGGCTCCCCGCCAAGGGGAACTCTCCAAGGAGAGCTCCTGCATTCTACTTCACCCACATAGCTTTTCTGGGCAGCTAAAGAAGCCCCAGTGCCCTGCCACCCAGACTGCCCCGGCTCAGCTCTCTCACCAGGGTCAGTCTAAGAGAACAGGTCAAGAGTCCTTCAGGTCCCTGAATGGCCTGCTGGGAAGATGCCCTGAGTGCTCAGCTGTCTGCTCAGTTAGCACCTCGCGTCTCTGTCATCTTTCACTGAAAGCCTCCAAGCACGGGGATCACCTCAGCTCAGTGAATAACCCAAGGCTCTTCCCCTCCCCCTCAGTAACTGCCTTCCCGATTTACCCAAGTACCCCTGGGGATCCTGGCACCCTCCAAAACCCAGACTCCTTTCCTTTTTCCCCTGACTCCTCCCAATCTTGTCCCAGGTCTCAAAACAAATACCCCAAAAGGAGGGGCCTTCTGCTTGAGGCTCTTCACCTGGCTCCGCTGAAGTCCCCTCTGGCTGGAAAAGGAAGGAGGTAGGCAGGCAAGCAGCCACTGCCTGTGGCTGAGGCCCCAGTGAGTGCAGAGAGATGACAGGAAGGCACTATGTTTTACTTTGCCACAAATAGGAAAAGGGCAGGCGGGGGACTCTGTGAAACCCGACAAAGGGAGCCACCCACCGGTCTTGACCTACCTGTGGCAACTCTTCCGGACAACATGCTGATATGGGGGCGGAGGGGGGCGGTTGGAAACACTTTAAAGATTGTCGAGCATCCCTTCCTCTTTTCACATCATGTTTCAACTCTAATTCAGTCCTTCCCAATCGGTGGCTGAATATCCCCTCAGGGACACCAAGTTACTACAAGGGGTCAGAGCTGCTTTATGTGCATCGAACACTTTCTATAGACCGAATAATAAAATGACTGGCATAGAGATGTACTATGTCCAAATGTATGTGTTTGTCATTAATTAAACATGCTGGTTTTTGAACCATCGTGAACTGGCGAGCCACTGGAATGTGAGTGTGTGGGGGTGAGAAGGAGTGGGAGGCTGCTCTCTCTGGTTCTTGGAGAACTCTGAGCAGAAGAGGGACTGAGAGGGTTCAAGGGCTGGAGCTGGGGTCCTTCTGGGGATGAGGGTCCAGCTGAAACAGAGATGGGCTGTGATGCTGACAGGGAGGACAGGGTACAGCAGGGACAGGAACAGGCAGAGACAAGAGCAGGCAACATAGAAGGATCTGGGGTGAGACAGAGAAGAGAGCAGGAATCTGATCTCACGCAGGAGAGGGCAGGAGACAGCAAACGCGTCTTCCTCCTCCTGTTCCATCTCTGACCTCCCTATCCTGGGAATCCTTTCGCTAATCCAGATAGAGTGCTGAGGACCCAACAGGGCAAGAGACAATCCAAAGACACAGAAAAATACCCGTAAGATGTAACTAGGTATAAAAAAAAAATAAAAATAAAAAAGGTTGCCAGGAAGCAGCTTTTTAGGCCAAGCAATGTCATTATTCTTGTGAACAGAAGGTGCATCCCCTCGGGGCCTCACACAAATCCTGCCCAGTCAGTGCGTCTTCATTGCGCAGTGTCTAGCCCAATGTGACACAGCCCCAACCAGTCATCCAACTCCTCCCCAGCCGCGCCACCCAGGCAGCCTGAAACACACAGGGGCATCTCAGACTCCGCTGTAGGCCGGGGGCTTGTTATTGGTGTTTTCTCTGCCAGCTCAGCCCCTGGTCTGCACTCACCTCCACTGTGGCCTCCATCATTTCCTATCATAATTATTTGCCTACATAATTGTCCCCTATGTGACTTGACAGGGATCCCTATCTACTCACTTCCGTTTCTTGTGTAGACAGGTATCACATTTTCTAGGTGTCCAACATTTGGAACTTTCCCCCCAATATGAGTCTGAAGGGAGGCAGAAGGCTCCTCCCACTATAAAAGCCAAAATGACCACATGCTTAGTTCTGAACTCCTTGCCCCATCCCACAGTGCAGGTAGACTACATGGACTGGGTCATTTGGATGCCCCCATCCACAGTATGGAGCAGAAGTCGGTGGTCCTCAGGTGGCAGTTCAATGAAGATTCCATTCTGTAAATGATGTCACACCAGCTTCTGGGAAGCAAAAGAAAAAGGGGGTTACGGGTGGGTTGCAGCACCCTCTCTGGGCCGGCCCTGGGGTGTGTGGTCCTGGGGCTCCCATCCTCCCTTGGTGAAGCCTATTATCCAAGCCTGGCTCTGTGAGCTTCCCCAGCATCTTTTAAATGAATTCCTTTTCTCCTTAAGTCCTCATAAAATGGTTTCTATAGCTTACAACCAAGAAGCCTGTATTATATGAGTCCATGCCAAGAACAGAAGATAAAGCACCAGGGTTCAGGCTGGAATATTCCAAGGATCAGAGTAGATCGCTACCTTTGCAAACAGCTTACTCTGTGCCTGGCATTGTGCTAGGGGCTTCATAAGCTTTATCTTATTTTATTTCCACAATAAGACTTTGTGGTTGATTTTATCATCCATATGATAAAGGAACAGAAGCTCAGAAAGATAAGTAACTCACCCAGAGTAACACAGCAAGTAGCCAAGAGCTCTCTATTATCAACCCTCAAATGCCACTGTCCCTTAGCAATGTCACCCCATCCCTCCACCACACTTCATGCTCCCTTGTTCGACATACTGTTCCCATTGCCCACACCACCCTCCCCAGCCTTCCTCCTTTTTCCCAGTTGCCCTCTCATATTCTTCATATTTTGGAGGGGCTCCTCCCACAGTACCTCTTGCAAACCACCAAACCTCTACTTCTCAAGAGCTGGAGCCCGCCCAGCCTCCCAGGCCACAAGCCTGCATCCCTGAAGCCTTTTTGGAATCATAGGTGGCAAGAGCCTTGCTGGGCAACCATGGGAGCCCCCCAACCTCAGAGGAGGGTTCACACATACCTTGGCTTCTCTCTACCAATGCCACTCTCTCTCGGCATCACAGTTAGCTCCCAACTCTTAGAAAAGTCTGTACAACTTCTTGGTTAGAAAAAAAGGCACATGGCCTCGGAGTTTTCCAGGTCTCTCATTCCTGAATGCCTGGGCAGGAAGCCTAGGAGGCGGGCTAAAAACAGCCCCCGGGGGTTCCACCTGAAACAGCCTTTACCTGCCAACACTTTCTTTGCTCCCATCTTCTGGGCCCTGCCACATCCTCTGTCCTGTCAGTCTTCAGGTCCTGTGGTGTCATTGGCTTAACTGTGATGTTACCATGTCCCGCATCCCCTGGGGGTTAGCACAGGGATAGAGCCATGGCCTCCTAGCCGGGAACCTGGGAGTTTCCTGGACTCAGATGAGAGACCCAGGCTAAGGCAAATCCTCGGTGACCAGGGGGGCTTGGGAAGTGCTCATGGATGGGAAGGAGGGTTGAGGGGCCTTCAGGAGTGAGTGGGAGTCACTAGGGAGGCCTTTGAAGAAGAGCTGCATCTGGAGTGGGGGACAAGAGCTGGAGGTGTGGACAGGGGTCCTCAAGCTTCTGGGTTACTGCACATTTAAGTATTATTAAATAACCAATGTAATTAACAATTACAAAATAATACATACTAGTGTTAAACATTTCAAACAACATAGAATATAGACAAAAAAGTGGAAGCTCCCCTCCTTCACAATTTTCCAGGGATCAATGCAAATTATTTGGTGTTTATGCTTCCAGCTACTTATTTATTTATTTATTTTAAAGATTTTACTTATTTATTTTTAGAGAGAGGTGAAGAGAGGGAGAAACTCTGACTGGTTTCTTCTCCAAGGACTGAACCCACAACCCAAGCATGTGTCTGGACTGGGAATTGAACCGGCGACCTTTCTCTTTGCAGGACAATGTCCAACCAATTGAGTCACACAGGTGAGGGCTATCCTTCCAGATCTTTATCTATGAACCCACAGACAGGTAGATGGAATTTTAAATTTTGTTTTAAACAACGGGTGCAATTATTCCTGTTTTAGAGGCAAGGAAACTGACACTCAGAGAAGGAAAGTGACTGACTCAAGGTCACACGACCCCAGTTGGGGCAGTGACATCTCCAGAGGGGAAGGGTGAGCTCAGAGAAAAATTGCTACAGGGGCACCTAGGAAGAAGTAAAAAGGACCACAAATGTGGTATAGTGGAGTCTGGATTCCCGTCAGGAGCCAAAGGGCCCCCGAAAAACGAAAACTGACAGAGGCCCAAGTTAAGGACAGGGGAAACGAGTGCAGTACTAGCATCTGGCACCCTACAAGAACCTTTTATTCATTTATTCATTCACATATTTCTTGACTGCCAACTGTGTATCAGGCGTTGGACTAGTTGCTTGGAATACACCCCATAGGAACATAACCCAGACCTTGGAATTTACAATCCAGTTATCAGAAGGCTTGCGGGGTGTTGCTGAAATAGAAAACAGTATGCAACCACCAGGGCTTATTATTTTAGGGTGGGGCTTCAGGAAACAAAGAAGAGCCAGGGGTGTTAGGTTGGCTTGCGCAGTAACAGAAGAAATGGGACTACAGGCAGGAGCTCTACTTCCTCTTTAAAAACCT